AAGTAGAAGGCCTCCCCAGGGTGGCTCGAAACTGTTTCATGGGAGGCTCAGTGAAGTGGAAATGGAAGTTCAAGAAAAATATTACATCAGATTTTAGAGTAGGTATCAAAAGGAGATCACATAGAGTAGCCTGCATGTGTGTGATTTGGTTATATAGAGTTCAGTGATACAGTAGTTATGGGGAATTTTCCTGTTTTCACACTTTCAGAAACTAATAACTTCCTTAGGAGAGATTTTTAATGAATTTGATGTAATGTCTGAAGTTATGGCAAATTGCAATATTAGGCTGTCTTGGCTCAGTTGTTGAGACTGTAGGATCAAATAACATAACCATGATCCCATAGGCATCTAGGAACTGAGTGAAATTAAAGCTGGGCAGGCAATTTATTACATAAGAATATAATTTTTAGGGCTCAGCCTTTGAAAATCTCTGCCTTAAAATATTAAAAAACATCTGACGTCTGCAACGATAAACAGGCCTATTTTACTCTCAAAATCTAGTGAGGAAGATTGTTTTAATAAAGCCTCGTAAGGCAGTAACTGCTACATGATTATTATTTAGTGATCATTATTTTTCTGAAATGTTTAAATGTTCTCAGAGAGTTTTTCTGAATACAGAATTATCCAAAATCAACAGTAACACCTCTGTAAACCAGTAGAGGGAAACCTCACACAAGGTCCATCCACCCATCGTCAACCGCTTATCCCCCGAGGGCTGGAGCCAATCCCGGCTGGCATCAGGCGTAAGGCGGGGTACACCCTGGACAGGTCGCCAGTCCATCGCAGGTCACTAAATTCCCCAGTAGGGAAAATGTACCTTGAATGAGACCACTGCCAGTCACCACCATCAGTCCAGCTCAGGTTGTTGATCCTAAATGGTTCATCACTTGGAGTACATGAGGATCTGTTTTCCATCACATTAGACACAAACTGATTATTTCTCCCACTGAGAAATATTGTTGTTTTGCTTAACAACATGTATTTAAATATTTCCGAGGGGCTGTCCATCAGCTGGAGGACTACAGTTCCCCCCAAAGCTCCATAACACTGAGCTCCATCCTGTCTGCCATCGCTGCAACTGGAAATTGTGAAATATTGGTTGTAAAAAAAATTGTTTTTTAAACCACAAAATGAATGACAATGAGATGTAATTATAAACTTTTTACTTTGCATCTGAGAATTACTGTGACCAGCGATTAAATATGATTTAAAGAGGTGGTATTATGCATATGGCTTCACCCTCTCCTTTGAGTTATATCTCTTTTTTGTGCATGTAACAGGTTTGCAAAGTAAAAAAGCCTAAAGTCCAGCCCAAAGGGAGTTCCCATCTCCCACAGAAATCTCTGCTCTAAACCACTTGAATACAGCTCGTTTGTAGTCCAGCCCTTCACTTCCTTTACTTGTGATGTCACAATGAAAACGCATCATAAAGCTTGCCAAGCAGCTTGCAGGGTCAGGCACGCCCTCAAACCAAGCTAGTCTGAGCGGAGGCCCTTTGGCTTGACTCGCCTTGTTTGGTTTTCCATTGTAGAAATGTTGCACCTGTACCTACTTCCAGGTACTTTTTTTCGGATCACCTCACCTCCGTCGAGGTTCCAAGCAAGCAGAGGGATACTAAAATGTAACGTGAAAACACGTCAGACTGCTGATTGGTCAGAGAGAATCGTCACTATTCACTGCATCATCATTGCGTGCGCCAGACAGAGGCCAGCAACAGAAAGTTTTATATTTTACAGTTTTCATATGTTATTTCATCACTAAATCCACTTCTGAGAAGTTTTGAGGTGAGAAATCAACTGTGTAGATTTTCAAATATTTTCTTTATTATATTACGAGAAGTGATGGCAGAACAAAAATGTGTTTGAATATTTTTGGAGTTGAGGAGCTCCGCAAGTGACTGCAGGGGAGTCCTGTGCCGGGAGGAGCATGTGAGGCCGGCCAGCCGCCCGCTCACAGAGCCCTCTGCTCCCGCCGTCACACAGACCGCTGCAGCAACAACAGCAGAGGAAAACACAGCTTGAAGGTTTTCATACCGCTTATCTGTCTTTACATTCTGAGGAATGTTGAAATGTTTTAACTTAAAAAAGTGAAAGCTGTGTGGATCGCTGGAGTGTGTGTCGCTTTGAACATTACGTCGCGGCAGTTGTGTGTGGTGTCGCTATGACGACAAGCTACGTACTATCTCTGGTACTACCTGCAAATGTAAAACGGAGCAGGGCCGAGTTGAGTCGAGTCTGTCAATTTGCGCTATGGTAGCATTTTTCAGCGAGGCAGCATAGATCGTCAGAACACCGGCAACAGTTCAACGTTTAGTCCTAAAAGACGATGGAACTCCGACTCTGTTTGGGCCTGGAAATTCACAATCACAACCTGTAAGTATGCTTTATTGTTTGTGAATTTTAATTAAAATAAACAAGGCAATGTAACTTCAGACTGTTCAAGTCTGAAGAGCAGAGTTGTAAACGTTGGCAAATACAGCTAAAGTTATAGCTATAATGCTAACGTTACACCTGATGTGAAAGCTACTGAGCAAACATTGAAATTGTTTGGCCAATAATTTATATAAAATTGAGTTGAAATCTGGTGATTTTTGTAGTGGTTTATGCTAAGATGTGGAACAATGATGCTGTGTGGTTGTGGACTGCTAGGTTACGGTCGCAGTCTGAAGCGGCTTTGATTTGGATCACACTACCTTGTTTCTTACGACCCGCCCCTCTCTGCTTCTGATTGGCTTGTAGTCCTTACCTGGGAACTGCGCATGTGCAACTCCCAACAAAGATTTTGTACAAGTCAGATGCATCACTCTATAGCTCAAGAGCGGAGCGTACATCACACAGGGTGAAAAGAGGAGCAATGTGCAGTATGAGAAAAATGTTGTTTTTTGAAAATTAAACCATGTAAACCTGTTCTGGTACAACCCCTAAATAAGATTTTGAACCTGAAAATGAGCATAATACCACCTTTAAGTAGGCTACATTTACTAAAGTGCAGTTTTGCAGAGTTACTTACACTAATATACAAACATGTTATTATTTTAAACAACATTACATGATAAATGCTACATTATACTACTACTTCACCACATTTCAGAGGAAAACATTGTACTTTTTAGTACATAACTAAAGCATAACTATGGGTCCTTACACAGAGGTCGCCATGTTTCTACAGTAGCCAATAACTGACAAATGGCGCTACAGAGTGCATTTCGCATCACGTTGTGTTTGTATAATTCCGGCAGTGTTGGCGCCTGTCACAATGCTGAATGTGTACAAAGAAGAGGAAACAATAATAATAATATACAGTCCCTGTGTAGTCATCCGGTTTATTAGAAGTAAGAAGAGAAGTAAAATTCTGATGAATGGATGAGCATACGTATTATTTATCACAAGCAGACAGCATGTGGATCTTCATCGACAAAGAAACGCAAACACGATGAAGACAAAGCCGGGACAAATGAAAGCAGAAATCAAGGATATAATCATTGTGGATTTCCCCAGATGGAAGGTTCTGATGCAGGACAAATGTTTTCACAGCGGTGCTGAAGTTGCCTGTTTTCTGCTGGAGAGGTAATTAAATTTAAGTTAAGTAAGACTTTAGCAATGCTGGGCATAATGACAAAGAAAAGTAACGTGTTCCCTTATCAGTGGTGTAAAATATTTAGTTGGATTCATTTCATGTAATGTTAAAGTTCTCCAGCGCTTTGTTTTGGCTTTGCTACAACTGAAAAACATGCTGTGTTTAAGTCAAGTTATCTTCAAAACTCATGTTGAGTGAAAAACTTACAGGACTTCATTTTACAATTCTAGTGAAGTCCCCCAAGTTTCCAAAGATAGCACATGACATTTTCTTGACTGCAATGTTGTTGTATGAATGTGGTCCCAGGGTAGGTCAGTGTTTGAGCAGCAAAACGCATCACTGAAGATGATGTCAGACATTTTTGAATGTACTTATCCCATAGTTGTATAAAATGTGTCCAATTAAACAAGTTAATCAGCTCACAATGAGAGACTCTGAGTAGCATCAGCAACAGTCCAGTCACAGCTTCCATGTCTGCTCAGTGTTCAGCCTCTGTTGACCGAGCTTCCAGTCAAACCTCTCAACTTTACCCCAACACTGAATTATTAAAATTATGAAAACATCACACAAAGTGTCCATTGCTACAGTTGAGTAACATTGACATCTGTACTTCTGTTGTGACACCTACATTCTAAACTGGGAACCACAAAGTCAAAGGAAACTCAAACAAAATATAAAAAACATGTTTGATGGTGTTAAGATAAATCATATGCTCAGAATCTGTTCAGCTCTAAGGTCCCTTTCCTCTTGAACCTCATGTGCTTGAGTTTACTAAACAACTGTTTACAAAAACACTTTGTTTGTCCATCTGAGTTTTGTCCTTGTTTCAGTAAAGCAGAAAAAGGAAGAGAACAACACTCTTTTATTAAAAGGTGTTCCTCCTTTGCTGCTAAATGACTGTATTAAGAAACACTGTGGAAAAGTGGAAGTGTATTTCAAATTTCAGATGAAGAGACAGAATATTATCTATGTCTGGATCATCTACAGTAGACTAATCCCCCCATTAACTTAGAAATTTGAGCAAGCAGCAAAATTAAAACTACACACTCACTCATATTTATCATTACATTGAGGGGCTATAATACCGTCAACTGTCACAACTGCTTTTAACGCCCTTTGAAATTTGCACCATGTAACTGACAAACGAATGTTGCAAGACTAAAAGCTGATGCTTGAGAAAAGTGTTTACCTCATGGAAACAAATTTGTACATACTGTGAACTTCCTCAGAGACAAAACTTTTCTCTGAAAACTTATCTTTAGGCCAGAAAACCAAAGGAAGACAGCTTGGTTGAATTTGATATTAACACTCACTCACTGCACCGAACCTTTAATAAATCTACAAATGTAAGAGCATGTTAGTTTGTTTGATGAACTCTGACCCTTGACTCATCCATCAACATCTATTTAAGAAACAGATTCTGATTTAAGTAAATGCAAACTTTATTAACTTGATTCTTTTAGGGTACAGTTAAAAGAAGCCATTTTCGATGACATGTAATCACAGATGATCAATCAATATTATAAACGTACTGATGCGAGAGTACTGTTCATGTCTGCCAGACCAATACAAAAAAATATATTTCAAAGACATTTTTATTCTTAAAATTCACATTATCCTAATTATAAGTTTTCAGTGTTTTAACTATGAAATAAAAGTAAATATGCTCATAAATTAGGCACAAGTCAAAATGAGTCAAAGTAAGCTAAAGAGAAGTGATAAAATACATTCTTAAGATAATATTAAATATTCTACCAAATTTAGTCTATAAAAACTAGCCACACTGTGATTCAAAGGCTGGAGCTGATACTTTGATGCTCAGTCTCAACCCAGAAGTACAGTAAAGGTGAAGAAAATAATGAGCTCTGATGGCTTGTATTTTAAATCATATTAAATTAAGGTGAAAGACCTTCAGGCATCTTGGCACACCTCCTCCACCTGCCTTCAGCGGTGCAGTGAACACTGAATCACCTGCCTCTGCGGACTTTGGCATACACACATTCATCTACTGCTGGTTCAATGGCCTGCCGAGGTCGCTGTGAAATCTTGACTTGGCCGTACTCCACCTCCACCTCTTCTCTTTGCTGCATCTGCCTCTCAGGCAGCTGCACGACCCTGACATCAGCATAGGTTAACTCCTGTTTATCTTCTTCTTCTGCAGAGTAAAAGGAAGTGATGGCACAAATATATCATATTTAATTATTAGATATACTCAGTACAATAAAGGTGACATCACTTCTGATATCAGAAGTGATATCATCCATCCATCCATCCATCGTCAATCGCTTAACCTGCTTACAGGGTCGCGGAGGGCTGGAGCCAACCCCCAGCTGACATCGGGCGAAAGGGGGGGTACACCCTGGACAGGTCGCCAGTCCATTGCAGGGCCACACATAGACAAACAACCAGTCACACTCACACCTAAGGACAATTTAGGGTCACCAATCAACCTAGGCAGCATGTCTTTGGACGGTGGGAGGAAGCCGGAGAGAACCCACACAGACAACCCAGTTGTGTGGAGAACATGCAAACTCCACACAACCGGGGTTTGAACACGCGACCTTCTTGCTAGAAGTCTTATCAGTCGATTGAAAAAGCAAAAGTTTAACATATTCAGAAATATGCTTTATTGCTTTCTTGCTGAGAGCTAGATGAGAAAACTGATACCACTCAGTGATCTAACTTTCTGCCAATTGTATTGACCAAAATGTCTATTATTTTGATTTTTAAATACAGAGACTAAAACAGCAATCTCTGAATACGATGATGGTTTAGGAAAGTTTTGTTTAGTACCTTCAGGTTTGTTATTTTCCTGTTTGTTGTGAGCACAGACGACTGCCACCCCGACTGCCAAGAGAATTACCAGTGCAGAGAGTACGCCGGCGATTATTGGCAAAATTCCTATTTCTGTAATAAAGGACACATGAGACACACAGATCTTTAAGTTAACAAAAATTATTTTTTTACCTTGTTGGCAAAAATGATTTTTTACCTCGAATGATCAAATGTAGAGTCCGCTGCTCTGATCTCGTTCCATTTGAATCAAAGATTTCTAGAGTATATTCACCACCATCAGTCCAGCTCAGGTTGTTGATCCTAAATGTTCCATCACTGGGAGTAAATGAGAATTTGTTTTCTGTCAGATTAGAAAGAATCTTATTCTTTGTCCCACTGAGTATTGTTGTTTTGTTTTTTAACAATTGGTATCTAAATATTTCTGAGGTGCTGTCCATCAGCTGGAGGACCACAGTTCCTCCCAAAGTGCCATAACACTGAGCTCCATCCTGTCTGCCATCACAGTAGGTTTCCACACCTGGAAGTGTTGAAACATAAGTTGTAAAAGATGTGAACAATTCTGATCCTTTGATTTCATCAAAATCAACAGACCTACATCCTCTCTGCCATCACATGTTTTCACACCTGGAAATTTGAGAGAATAAAATGAAAATATCATACTTTAATCATTTAATTTCTACAAATTGAATGACCGTGAAAAAGCATATGCAAATACTGATTTAAAACAAGTGGTTAGGTGTAATTGTCTCTCTCAGATGTCACAACACAAACAGACATTTATTATTGTGCAGCTGAGCAACAGGTTCAACTAACAGATGTAATATATTTTTTTAATATAGTTGGCTAAGTTTACTTAACCCTGTCATGACACACTCATCCTGTTTCTTTTACACACCTACAGAACTTGTTAGGATTTGGTTTTGTGCTGTTGTTTTTTACTGTGTTTATTTGATATTGTCATGGTTTGGAGTTTTGTAGTCTTGTTTATTATTTTGTTCATTCGCTTTAAGTCTTCTTAGTAACTGTCTTGTCTCTAAGTCTCGTAGTTGTCTCGTAGTTCTTAGTCCTGCAATTCTTGTTCAATGTACTTCTGTGTTTTATTACTTGTGGTCTGTGTCTTTGTCCTTAGTCTTTTATCTCCATGTTTTAGTTTGGTCCTGTCCATGTCCTGATTTTGCAGTCGTTCCATGTTTTACTTTGGTAGATCTGTCCTTGTGTGTTCCATGAACTTTACTTCCTGTTTTACTTCGTAGTCTTCTGTGCCTGGTGTTTTTGTCTAGCTTTGTTCCTGTTGTTAGTTAGTATATGTTGTCTTGATGATTTATTTGTTACCTCTGCCAAAATCCATAGAAACCGGATGACAAGACGAGAGATGAGTAACGAGCAGAGCAGGCTACACAGGACAACACACACCAAGACACTGTAATGACCGGACCAAGACTAAACTAATATTGTCTATACTCATGACAATACATGAAATGAAAAGCTGTGCAAGAAGTTCCAGTACTAATGTGTTAGCTGTAAGTTAATCAGCTCACCATGACAGACTCTGAGTAGCATCAGCAACAGTCCAATCACAGCTTCCATGTCTCCTCAGTGTTCAGCCTCTGTTGACCCAGTCAGCAGCTTCCAGACAAACCTCTCTACTTTATTCAATAGCAAACATCCTACACTGAGCAACCTGAAATGTCTTCTCTCTGATCAGCTGCATATAAGGTGTGAAAACTCTGACCGAGCAGAGTATTATTTAAAAAAGTACAGCTGAGAGGGAAAGGGGAAGCAGGATTAACATGGTCACTAAGGTCAAATTTATCAATACTAAAATCTCCATAAGCAAGTCATCTGCTTGCCCCAGTTGATATCTTCTCATAGAAAAACTATTCTTCCTTACAGCCATATTGTCATGTTATGTGATCTGACATACATACACCATCACACAGACCTTTCGCACTAAATCCAACTAAGTGAAAAAGTTTTTAAAAAGTAAACATTTGCTCAATCATAGGACAGAGCAACGATGAAAGCTCTTTTTCACTTTGTTTTAGGAGGACAGTTTTTTCCTACCCAGCATGCTTTTATGCACTTGAAACATGAAGTGATTTTAACACCTTCAAGTCTCTGGTACATCATGAGATCATGGCTCACTCTCAATACTGGACTACATTCAAGAGTCAAACATCAAACATGCTCAGACCTCACAGCAAAGCTTCTTGTGTCATTAACAACAGAGTAAAGGAAGCAGAATATTGCAACAAACTGGTCATTTCAGTTCCTCATTTGTTTGTCACGCTTCAAGACATTATTTTATGTTCTTATAAAACTAATGTTCAAAAAGTGTGGCTGAAGTTTTCAACTCTTTATTCTTTTTACACAACCAGTCTACAGTCAGAGGATTATTGGTTTGTCTTTTGCCAGAGGTATATATCAATGTTTTCTTTTTAAAAAAAGGCATCAATAGGCCCTGCGTAATTGATTGACTGAATTTAGCAATGCTCTGCCATCTCACTACAATTTGGGGATGACAACTGTCCAACTGCTTATTTGTACTTATGAGGGAATTGCTTTCAAGCCATTAACACAAGTGAGATTACCAAGCTATCACAGCTGTCAAGTTTATTATTTTCAGTGCTCGACATCTTCAAACTTGATGCTAAAAGCTTTATGGAGATGCTGTATAGAGTGATGGTTGTTTAGACGATTAATCAGCTCTACTGACTATTTCATTTCCTGATTTATAACAAATACACATGCAAGGAGCTAAATATGTTCATTCACACTGCTGTTGGCCCACAGCGGTCTAAAGCTCAAACTATATCTGTGCAATCAAGGGTGTAGGGTTCCTGTCATCATTGGAGGGGACACATTAGGTGGGTGGTCTCCTCACCCAGAACATTTTGAACATTAAACACTTCATTTTCTTCATTCTGGTGAATTTTCTGGACCAGTTTTTGCCTATTCGGCATCAGTTTATGGTGGAAATGTCTTTATTCGTGTAAAGGGAAACAGGTGGCATTTAATATTATCCCTGATCAGTCAACACACATGTAGGTATGTTTTAGTCTTCTCTCCTCTTTTGTGCCTTTTATTTATGAAAGTAGCCTCTTTAAATCTGCATGTGGCACCTATTGTCATTGATAATTTAATTCATTTATAAACTCCTGATAATTTAATTCATGTATAAACTCCTGGCCTGTAATAATAATCTATTAAAGTTTTATTCTCATGTTATAAACTTTCTGCACATTCAAAATCTGTCACACAAATCTGTGTTCTGACATTGAGAATTGCGGAAGAGGATTAGGTCCATGTGTGAATATATTTTTTTTTAATTCTGAGATAAAAGTCAGAATTCTGAGATTAAAGTCAGATTTCTGAGATTAAAGTCAGAAGTATGGGTACCTGTAAAGGTCCCATGTGAGAGAATCACTTGCATGATGTAAATTAGCCCGGGAACCACACACTGACCGAAGATGTCGGATTTAAGTGAGTTTTTGCGTTTTCGAGGGGTCCCAGATGAAGCCATTTCATTACTGGAAGAACAAAAGGTGAGTAAAAATGAAATATGTGTTAGTTTATTGCATGGCGTTTGTAAAAACAAAGGAAATTCAAGGGGCTGAAGGATGTGTAATGCAGGGACGAGTTAGCATGTTTTGATAGCTAACATGGTAGCTAACGACAATATTGGCTGTTTTTTGTGTTGACATTTTGGTTATATTATCATGTTTTAAACTGCCTTCGAAGACCGAGTGAGAGCATCTGTAGTCAGTGACTAGTGACTCTTGTTGTCTGTGTTTGTTTACAAAAGAATGGACGTGGCAACATTTCAGCCAGTCGCGCTGCTTCTGTCCTCCTGTTGCTCACCGTGTCCGAGGGCAGCTCCTCACACACAAAGCGGACAGCGACAGGTGAATATAACGTGTTACTGAAGCTATTGGGTGTTTTAATGTGTGTTTTCCTTAAGACTGTACAACTCCAGCAAGGAAGTTCTTAGCGTGGCTCAGAAGCGGCTCTCCGCTCCGCCGTTTCACGGAGATACACGCTTGGCTGCATCTCTGTTTATGACGGAAGCTTCGTCAAGCAGCACAGAGCAGATGAACCGGACAGGAAGTCAGACACAGAACGGCATAGAGAATCCGGTCAATTTCCAAAATAAAACACCCGGTCGTAAATCAACAATAAACACAGTTAAAACAGACAAAAAAACAACAACTATTAAACTACTTTACCAGCCTTCTATGGTAGCAGAAATGCATATTAAACTTACATCCAGAACTGAGATTAAACTTGTATTAAAAAAACTATTTTTGTGTTTTTTATTATATTATTGTACTGACCCCTGCACACAAGGCTTTCCTGAAATATTTGATCAGTATTTTCCTACTAACACTTTTACTGATTTAAGGGGCATAACCTTAACATTATTTATACATTGTCTTTTCTTTTTTTTCTTCTGTTCAGATTGACAGCGACGTTGCAGCGCTGGCAAATTACATCCCCTCCTATGGAGACCGAATTGCCCTCTTCAATTTCTGCAAAAGTAAAAAGCCCATCTCAAAGCGAAAACAAGGACTTTTGGAAAAACTTTGTGAGAAAATGAAAGTCAGAAAGGAAGGCACCAAGGAAAACGTATCAGATGCAGACACAAGATCAACACAGACAAAGAAGCTTAAAACAACCCGAAATGTAGAGATAGGATGGATTCACAGTGATGGTAATGTAGCCAGAGAGGTGAGGGACCTACTATAAGCACTTCACGAAAGCTCAGCCTTGGTTACAAAAACTATAGTGCTATTATCCCTTGTTTCATGTGTTTTAGTGGTGCATTCACAAACTATAACAAACTGGTATACTGTCTGTTACCAATGCCAGATCCATCTCCGCCAGATTCAAGTTCTCAAGCTGCACAACACAAACCTTACTGGACAGAAACATGGCTTGGTCATGTAATTGAGGTTGAGGGCTTACATTTCAACAGCAGCATGGACTATGGCATGCATCATCACTGTTGTGTGCAGTCAGCTATAGAATATGATGAAACTGTGTTTTTGCTCTTTTATTCATTTTTATAAGTTGCAAAATGATGTACCACCCAGGTGAAAGATGTGTGTAAACCACCATTGAATTGCAGCCAAAAGTGTAGCCAACCCCCACATCTATCTATTGACTAGAATCTCATGAAAACTACTTACTAGTTAGTGAAAACAAGTCTGAAGTAAAGATTTTAGTAAATACTGAAACTATTCTGTTTTCTCAAATGTCATATTGTCATAGTATCTTGTGACACCAAAAATGCCAGTCTGCAGTCATTGGTCATGATCTCATGTTGGACTGGTTCTTCCTTCTGAACAGACCACATCTTCAACAAATTCTCTTTGAAGTTCAGACCCTTGCAAGTATTTGTTGCTAAAGAAAAAATCTGAAGTAGGGTTAATAAGTCATACAAATCCAGAATTGCAGGTATTGTTGTTTTCAGCAAATCTGATGTGTTCTCTTTCAATTTTGGACACATTTTACTGATTATTATTGCACAGGCACTATACAATGCAGTCTCATAATTTTGTGTTATTATTACCCACCTTGTGGATCAACATATTTGACACCAGCAATGGCAAAGGGGTGTAATTGTTCAGGAATCATTGTTCCTAATTCTCAGGTTCTCAGCTGCTGTGTTAATTCAGTACCAGAAAGTATTTCCTTGCTACTAAAACCAAGTCTGGCATATAGCTTTTTTTTATAGCTGCGTGCAGGTCTTTCACAGCATTCACTTGCCTTAAATCTACTCCCTGTTTATGGATGACTCTTGAGGGTATTTTGTGATACAGACCATGGTTAAATAGCTAATTTTACCTGAAGTGGTCTTGATCTTTTACATTAGGTTACTGTTGTAGAAGATGTTTTGTTAAAGAGACTATATGAGAGTATATAAGGATAAACATTTAACTTTTTTAAGCATCAAAATAAAATGGATCTTTATATACTACATTATGTAGAATTGTTCATGTAGTGACCACTTTTAGCTCATTAGCATTGCTTTAGTTGAAATCTCTTAAGTAAAGCCTCTGATTGTAGCCATGTTAAATGTTACTTTTAACATTCAAATGTTAGTTTACAAAATTGAGCAATTCTGGTTATGTGCTCTTCACAGACTGTTGTGAATTATTTTGGAGCATTATAGCCTAAATAGCCAGGAGAGTTGAACGGGGCAGGATGACCTTGACCAAGGACGGACAACCTGTATCTCAGAGACACATACGCGTACTTAAAAAGGTAAGCAGAAAACCTTTTTCTAAAATTTCTGCATAATAGTGTGTCTGAGTACAGGATTCTCCGCCCAGGTGAAGTTTCTGAAAGCTTCCTCACTCTAGAACCTAGTTAAAGTACAAAAAATTAAGGAAAATTGTTAAAAATGTAACTGAATTCACTAAAAATGAACTAAATTTACTAAAAAAGACAAAGCACTCACAGATTGAGAACCACTAGGGTGTCAGAGATGGGTGCAAATCTAAATGCAGGCAAAAAAGCAGTGTGTCAAAGTGCTTGCAAAGCTGGTAGATTAGATGCGCTTTTTATTTTTAATTGTTGGCTTTTAAGTATAAATAAGTATGTAAATAAGATTTGTAAATAAGATAAGAGTTTTCCAACCATTATCATGAATACCGCTGTTTTGGGATCGCAGCGCTTCGACTGAGTGTCGGGGAGCTTCGATCCAATCAGAACAGGATTGCATAGGCGCAGTGAGCTGATGAAGAGATAAGAATTTAAGCGCTGACTTGGAGATTGCAGAATCACAGCTGAGTGCTGGGGTGCTTCACTCACTAGGTCAGGGCTGAAATGGGCTAATAAGACAGTCATTCTGTGGCTACCGCTAACTTATATCGCAGGATTTCAACTGAGTGTTGGGGCTCTTGGTAATGGTAGGTTAGGACTGCACAGGCAGAAGTACTGCAGCACGTTACCGCTAGGAGCCTAAATAGGACTGCGGCAGGATAGGAGAATAAAGCGTGCTTAAAGTTAAAAGCTCTCATGTTGAGGAAGTGGATTGAGTAGCGATTTGTAAAGACAGATTTTGTGTTGAGGAAGTGTATTATTTCTGTCTAAGCCCTCATGTCGAGGAAGTGGATTGAGAGGCTATTTGTGTGTAAACTGGGTCTGTGTTGAGGAAGTGCATCAGACCAGTCAATTTGAAAATAAACCTAGGCAGTGTAAATTAAGTCTGTGTTGAGGAAGTGCATCAGACCAGTCAATTTGAAAACCTAGGTAATGTAAATTAAGTCAGGGGCCGGCAGGAGATAGGAGTCAGAGACGTACGTGCATGTAAATATTGCTGAAAATATAGTCGATAGCTGCGTGTTAACAAAAGTGCATATACAGTGGGTACGGAAAGTATTCAGACCCCTTTAAATTTTTCACTCTTTGTTTCATTGCAGCCATTTTCCAAAAATCAAAAAAGTTCATTTTATTTCTCAGTAATGTACACTCAGCACCCCATCTTGACAGAAAAAAAACAAATGTAGAAATTTTTGCAAATTTATTAAAAAAGAAAAACTGAGATATCACATGCTGAATAATTTGGTTGGGACGATGTAATACAAACAGTTTAGGTCACCCCAACATCTTAACCATGGCTTTGGGTATGGCCCTTAGGTCCCTGAGAAGTTGGAGTAGCTGATCCTCCCTTTCTGGATGTCTTTTGTGATCCAAAACATGAGGAGGGCCAATACCTTAGAGAAAAACAGATCCAGTTATTAAATAAATCTACCACATAAACATTAAAGCTTTTTACTTTTCAGAGACAAGGACTAAAGGTGACTACAGAAAATTTGGGAGCTAGTTAAATTAAGCTGAAAATAATATAAACACATACAGTATTGCAACAAAATAATTATATAGAAGTTTACATATAAATATATTGTCATATACTGGTTGAAGATTTACATCTTTTATGACCTCTGTTAGTTTGTATTCAGTTCCTCTTTACTGTAGTCTATACTGCCAGTTTTCCATCTCATACTGTATTTTGAGTTTTGCTGTATTACATGTACAGTAGTAGTACCTGCACACATTTCATTTCCTATTTAATGTGGATAGTCGAAACAAGGGTTGGCTTTGTCTGATGAAGAGATATTTAGGGACAAACATTTTGTCTTTATTGTGCTCTATACTGGTTATGTTCTCTGTATGTCTTCTGTCAGGATAGTGCTGCAGTCATCTTGAGTTCCTGCAGTTTAACAAATCAAAACTTTTGGATTATACAACCAAATTGCCCCATAAATGGTAAATGGCTACATAGCACATACATACAATTGCACAATTACAATTACATATAATTTATCCCAAGTGCTTTACGTAGCTCTTTGCCACTCAGTCACCCAATGACACACACACACACACACACACACACACACAGGTTTACAACAGTACTGTGTGGGAGTACAGACCTAATGGACATGATCCATTCATCAAATATTTTCCTGTATTTCCTCTCTTAAAATGATGTACAGATCAGCTGCAGCAAGTGGATCTGCTGGAGCATCCCATCCATGTTCCTCCATTAGTAGACAACACAGTTCAAAAACCGTTTCATCGCATGGAAACTGGCCTTTGGGAGTACAATCCATACACAAAGTGACCTCCTCCATGGCAATAGGTTTGAGTCTATCTTCAGCACTGTGCAACTCTGGGAATGAGTACATCACAAATGGCCGACCTGAGGCTGCGCCATCACTTGCACGTTGTCTGATTTTGTGTGAATTCCATGTGGTGACGACTTCGTCAAGTTCATCCTGCATAGAAAGATACAGTAAATACAGACTACAAACGTGTAATATAGCTGGTCTTATAGTATGTAACTACTGCCTGTCTACACTGAGACCTAGGCTGCTGCATTGTCATTGTATGCCCCCGTCAGCTACAGCACACAACAATAATCAATGTAAAAATATACAGCAATAAGCCAATAGCACCTCCACCAAACAGCAAGGGCACACAAAATGATTATGTACTGATGCATGCACACAGTAACTATAAGAAGCTCAGGATGAGGCTCTAAATAAAAACCCTGAATGCTCACTGTACGTTAACAGGAAACTAGGGCTGGACCTAGTTTCTCAAAATAAATGCCCAGACAGTAAGTGTATCTTAATAGGGGGCTAGTGAGTTTCATGTCTGATATTAATACAATTAAGTTCTTCTTTCTGTGTTAAGTCATTTCAACATGTTTCAGCTGTTAGCTTCTTCTGCTAATGCATTTGAGCTGTCAGCTCGAGTTTTGCATTTCAGCTTCCACATTTTTGAAACGCATTTCAGTTAATATCAGCCAGTTTCTTTAGCCATTTTTAGCTTTGCTTCAGCAATTTCTTCAGCTTTTATTCACAGCACAGATTGTGGCGGTAGCAGTGGCAGCTGGGAGATACAGCAGCAGGAGCTAAAAGCTTCCAGCTCTCACACACACTTTCTTAAGAAAATGCAAACATTGTAGTTTCAGTAATGATAGTATGTAGAAAAAAATACAAATTACTTTAGGAAATATTTAAGATGATGGCTATTTTAGCAAACCACCCAAATGTATACTTGTATTGCTTTAAGAGGAGCTGTGGTCTCTCAGGGGAGCTGGCTAAGCGCCAAGCGTGTATCTCCGTGAAACGGCGGAGCGGAGAGCCGCTTCTGAGCCACACTAAGAACTTCCTTGCTGGAGTTGTACAGTCTTAAGGAAAAACACACATTAAAACACCCAACAGCTTCAGTAACACGTTATATTCACCTGTCGCTGTCCGCTTTGTGTGTGAGGAGCTGCCCTCGGACACGGTGAGCAGACAGGAGGACAGAAGCAGCGCGACTGGCTGAAATGTTGCCACGTCCATTCTTTTGTCAACAAACACAGACAACAAGAGTCTGTCACTGACTACAGATGCTCTCACTCGGTCTTCGAAGGCAGTTTAAAACATGATAATATAACCAAAATGTCAACAACACAGAAAACAGCTAATATTGTCGTTAGCTACCATGTTAGCTATCAAAACATGCTAACTCGTCCCTGCATTACACATCCTTCATCCCCTTGAATTTCCTTTGTTTTTACAAACGCCATGCAACAAACTAACACATATTTCATTTTTTCTTTTGTTCTTCCAGTAATGAAATGGCTTCATCTGGGACCCCTCGAACACGCAAAAACTTAAGTGAGTTTTCGGTCAGTGTGTGGTTCCCGGGCTAATTTACATCATGCAAGTGATTCTCTCACATGGGACCTTTACAGGTACCCATACTTCTGACTTTAATCTCAGAATTTAAAAAAATATATTCACACATGGCCCTAATCCTCTTCTGCAGAGAATAAAGTAGTAATATATTTTTAAAAATCTACCTGCCCTACTCTACTGTGCATTAGCCTACGTTATTGCTCCACTGATAGTGGTTGTATTTCCTTCAGACCGTTTGACACAGAAACCTGTCTGAGACTGTACTGGATGAGACAAATGCTTAGCTCCTAATAAGAGGTAAAAAACCCGAAACCAACTTAAAACATTTGTGATCAGGCATCTCACCACAAATCCTCAAAAATGTTAACTTGCCCACCTCTGATAAAGTGCAGATCACAGATACTTCAGTAGAAGCATCTTGAAGCAGTGAGACAGTCCAAAAGGTGCAAAGGTGTCTCTAAGCCAGTGGTTCTCAAACTTTTTCACATCAAGGACCCATAAACTGACCTAGACCGCCGTCCCCCATTTCATAAGTGTACCCGCAGCCTCCAGCTATCAACCTTAGTACAGACGCTGACCCAGGAGCACATTGCAAACAGTACTTTTATTGCACACACTGCCACTCACACACACCTCCCAACATAAAACTTCTGCCTGCACACTTCCTAGCTCACTCCCACCAGTCTCCTCTGGACAGTTCTTTACAAATAATAATCTCAGTCTCAACCTCACAGCCCCTCCGTCTGTTCTCTGCATTTAAAGAGAGAGCATAATTAGTTAATGAACAGCAGCTGTGACAATTTGCTCTCCCTGGCTCTGCTTACCTGAGCCACCTCTCCCCACTGCAGCTGAATGCAAACCATGTCCACCTCCACAATAAGATTTTGTCCTAGGGTCGCCCTAAGATTTTTTTTGCTTAGATGTTTTATTACAGAAAGTATGAAACCATGATCAGAATTAACCATACGTTCTGTCATTGTGTTACTTATGGATGGAATTATAGTGAAAATATATTAATCCCCTTGCTGAGGGCCCACTGTAGCTCGTTCAAGGATCCCTGAGGGTCCCCGGACCCCACTTTGAGAACCACTGCTCTAAGCAAGGGCTCTCTCCTCTGGCAACTGTTGATTAAAGGCAAACGGCATCGTTGGATAACTATGACCTGGATGACTGAGAATCTTCATAGACATCGGCTTAAAACAGAGGCTTTCAAAGTGGGATGCCTCCCACTTTAGATATTATAGTAGTTATCAAAAGAAGTTCACATAGAATATCCTGCATGTGTGTGATTAATGGAGTTCATTGATACAGTAGTTATGGAGAATTTTACTGTCTTTCCCACTTTCCCAGTCAGAGGTAATAAACTAACTAATAAATGCCTTAGGACAGACCTTTTCTATGTATTTCTATGTCAAACTGCAATATTAGGCTGTTTTGGCTCTCGCTCTGTTGCTGAGTCTGTGGGATCAAATAGTACGGTCATGATTCCATATGCATGTAGTAATTTAGCAAAGTAAAAGCTGAGGTAGGCAAAAGAAGAAAGAGTTTTTACTCTAAACCCTGTTTTCACATCTAGAAAGACAGGAGGCCAATCACAGCAGGTGAGAGGCGACACTGAGGTGTTGGTTTCAGAAGTTCAGAGTTTTTTTGATGTTTCATCGTTCGAGGTTCGGCAGAGCCTTCAGCTATCTGATATTTCTTTTTCTGATCTGTTTAGGTAAAGAGACAAAGAAATCTATTGTCAAGTTATTGACAGGAGAGTTAGTTTTCACCTAAGTACCATGATTCATCTCTGCTGGAGGAAGATACAGTTTGATTGGCAGGTGTGCTGTGAGTGGATGTTTTAATGGATACTATGGAGGCAGTCTAATTACCTTCAGTAGAGGCCTCAGTTTCTGTGATCATGGCAGTGGTTGTTATTTGCTCAATACACAGAGTCTTACTGGCTTCAAACACCCACTGTGATATGTGTGTCCCATAGATGATGCAGTTAATAAACATCAATATCAAAAATTAATGTTTGGTGCTGTTAAAAGATAAATATATCACATTCTGAGAATCTGATAAGCTGTAAGGTCCCTTTCCTCTTGAACCTCATGTGAGTTTACTAAATTCTACAAAAACTTTGTTTGTCCATCTCAGTTCTGTCCTTGTTTCAGTAAAGCAGAAAAAAGAAGAGAACAACCCTCTTTTATTAAAAGGTGTTCCTCCTTTGCTGCTAAATGACTGTATTAAGAAATTTCAGATGAAGAGACAGAATGTTATCTATGTCTGGGTCATCTACAGTAGACTAATCCCCCCATTAACTTAAAAATCTGAGCAAGCAGCAAAAGTAAAACTACACACCCACTCATATTTATCATTGCATTGAGGAGATATATTACCGTCAACTGTCACAAATGCTTTTAACACTCTTTGAAATTCGCGCCGTTTAACTGACAAACTAATGTTGTAAGACTAAAAGCTGATGCTCGAGAAAGCAGAAGTGTTTACCTCATGGAAACAAATTTGTGCATACTGTGAACTTCCTCAGAGACAAAACATTTCTCTGAAAACTTATCTTTAGGCCAGAAAACCAAAGGAAGACAGCTTGGTTGAATTTGAGATTAACACTCACTCAAACGCACTGCACCGAACCTTTAATAAATCTACAAATGCAAGAGCAAATAAGTTTGTTTGATAAACTCTGACCCTCGACTCACCCATCAACATCTGTTGAATAAATATACTTTGATTTAGGTAAATGCTAATTTTATTACTTTGACATGAAGATAAAAATAGTGATTTTAAATAACACAGATGATCAACAAACATAAACGTACTGATGCCACTTGTTCAGAGCACTTGTTCATGTCTGCCAATCATTGTAGGCTAATACAAAAAAATACATTGCAAAGACATTTTCATTCTTAAAATTCGTATTGTCATCATTAGTTAAGTCAAGTTTATTTATAAAGCACATTTAAAAACAACCAGAGTTGACCAAAGTGCTGGACAAGTGATACAGTAGAAGACATAGAAATTAAAGCCAGATAAATTAAAACAGGCCAAACAATTAATTACATACAGCAATAAGATAGAAAACAACACAGTTAAATAAAAAATAGATAAATAAAAACAAGAGCACCTTAAAATCGACTCTATATTTTATTGGTAACCAGTGAAGAGCAGCCAATATTGGGGAAATATGGTCCCTCTTCCTTGTACCAGTTAACAATCTAGCAGCTGCATTTTGAACAATCTGCAAGCGTGATAAAGATGAGCGACAGATGCCAGAGTACAAGGAATTGCAGTAATCAATTCAAGAGGATATAAGAGCATGCAAGACAGTCTCCAAGTCCTTTACAGAGAGAATGGATTTCAGTTTTGCTATGGTCCTTAAATGAAAAAAGCTACCATACCTCATTACAAGTTCACATAGTTTTAACAATGAAATAAAAGTAAATATGCTCATAAATTAGACAAAAATGAAAATGAGGAACAACATAATCTAAAGATAAGAGACATTGGAATTGTGGTAAAATACATTCTAAAGAAAACATTGAATGGTCTACTCTATAAAAACTAGCCACACTGTGATTCAAATGCTGGAGCTTATACTTTGATGCTCAGTCACAACCCAGAAGTACAGTAAAGGTGAATAAAATAATATGAGCGCTGATGGCTTTTTATTTTTCCTATTGGAAATCACATTAAATTAAGGTGAAAGACCTTCGGGCGTCTTGGCACACCTCCTCCTCCTGCCTTCAGTGGTGCAGAGAACACTAAATCCTCTTCCCTTTGCGGACATTGGCATACACACATTCATCTCCTGTTGGTTCAATGGCCTGCCGAGGTCGCTGTGAAATCTTGACTCGGCCATACGTGTTTCCACCTCTTCCCTTTGCTGCATTTGTCTCCCAGGCAGCTGCACAACCCTGACATCAGCAGTGGTTAATTCTCGTTCATCTTCTATTTCTGCAGTAAAAGGGTAAAAAGAGTAAAAGGAAGTGAAGCACAAATATATCATATTTAATGTTTAGATAAAATCAGTACAGAAAGGTCACATCACTTCTGATATCAGAAGTCAATTGTTAAAGGAATAGTTTAACATAATCAGAAATACGCTGTTTTGCTTTCTTGCTGAGAGCTAGATGAGAAATCACTGTCACTCAGTTATCTAACTCTCTACAAGTAAGCCAGTAAAGTGTATTTCCCAAAATGTCTATGGTATTGATTTGTAAAAAGAGAGAAAAAGAATCTCTGACTGCAATGATGGTTGTTTAGTACCTTTTGGTCTGTTATTTTCCTGTTTCTTGTGAGCACAGGCGACTGCCACCCCGACCAGCAACAGAATTAACAGTGCAGAGAGTACGCCGGCAATTATTGGCAAATTGCCTTTTTCAGTAATAAAAGACACAAGAGACACACAGATATTTAAGTTAACAAACTTTATGGGTGGAAACAGACAAAGACGAAAAGGGAAAATGACTTTAATAAATCCACTGCAGTAGGGTTAGTTTGCACTCACTAATGTACCATGGGACATCACTGCTCGGGACGCTCGCAGTATCTGTGATCATGGTAGGTGTTGTTGTTGGTTCAATACACAGGTGTTACTGGCTTCCAGCACCCACTGTGATATGTGTGTCATATTGATGGTGCAGTTAATGAATATGAAGCCTGTGGAAAAGAAACGATAAATGATGTACAGTTAATCATCAGAGTCATAATAATCAAACTGTTTTCTACTCACCACAGGTAGATATCTTCTCTTTTTTGGAGACACTACTGACTTTATTCCTGACTGAGCAGACCAGCTGTCCTGACACGTCTTGTTTCAGAGTGATGTTGTTACTCTCATTGTTTCCAGAGAGGAGCTGAGCGTCTGTCAGTGTGTGTCCATCCAGAGTCCAGCTGTACTGAGGACTGTCCCCTCCCTCAGAGGAGCAGGACACCCTCATCTCTCCCTGGGACAGACACTCAGGGACCAGCAGGACAGAGGTCACAGGAGCTGAAGGAAACACATTCTTCTTGATAAATCTTGGTTATTCTACACAGTTTCTAATAGGCATAGATAGATATACAGTACAAATATATTGGCAGAATATGAGATACATGAAGTTTGGAAATAGAATATAACATGTATGTCTATTAATATCACTAAATTCTCCAGTAGTCAAAATTGTTATTTACCTCGAGTGACCAACTTTATAGTCTACAGCTCTGATCTCGTTCCATTTGAATCAAAGATTTCAAGAGTTTATTCACCACCATCAGTCCAACTCAGGTTGTTGATCCTAAATGTTGCATCACTGGGAGTAAATGAGGATCTGTCTATTCTACTTTTTACTTCACTATATTTATTCTGCAGCTACAATTAGTAGTTATTTTTCAGATTCATATTTTACATGAATATTAAACTTGCTGGCATTAATATGCAAGTTACATGATAATGCGTCAATAATAATAGTCCAATTATACATATTATTATTATTATAATTTATATGAAACAACACACTGAATGGGGCCATTCAGGACTGTGAGTGTAATGTGTAGAAGGACTCAGGATCAGCTGTAATGGTTACTGATTTTAATAAAAGAAGCAAGGCATGGCCTCCAACATGGCATACAGGTAATTGCAACAATGACACGTCCCTCCTTATTGATATTGTGCATAATCCCACATCACTACCATGTGGTGAAATGAGGACTAGAACAAAAGGCTTACTTTAATTTGTAATAACCTAATTATATTTTGCAGGTACTTGTGTTCTCTTACTTAAGTAAACATTTGAATGCATGGCTTTTACTCATGTTGTATTTTTAATGTTACAAAATTTTCCAGTGGACAGAAATTGTTATTTACCTTGAATGGTCAAATGTAGAGTCCGCTGCTCTGATCTCTTTCCATTTGAATCAAAGATTTCTAGAGAATATTCACCACCATCAGTCCAGTTCAGGTTGTTGATCCTAAATGTTCCATTAATGGGAGTAAATGAGGATCTGTCTTCTATCACATTAAACAGAATCTGAGTTTTTCTCCCTGCAAGTATTACTGTTGTTTTGCTTAACAATTGGTATTTAAATATTTCTGAGGCGCTGTCCATCAGCTGGAGGACCACAGTTCCTCCCAAAGCTCCATAACACTGAGCTCCATCCTGTCTGCCATCACATGTTTCCACACCTGGAAATTGTGAAATATAAGTTATTAAAAAATGTAAAAAACAACATTGATAATTGACAATGAGATGTAATTAAACCCACAGAAACAGGGGTTCACTGCAGCTGTTTTATCGGACCAGATTACAAAACGTGAACTTATTCTTGTGCAGCTAAGAATTACACAGGAATGTGCCCAGGCGTGAAGTGTAATCAAGTAAATTTAGTACTGTATTAAAGTTAATTTTTTTCTTCTGAAATACCTTTATATTTGTATTTGTTTCTTTGCATCTGTCAAAGCACTTTGACAAACTTATGTTCACTGTTTTAATCTTGTTTTTAATATCTTGTTTGTTAATTATTAATTTTACTTTATTTTATTTCTTTGTTTTCTCTCTGAAGTATCTTTGTATTTGTACTTGCAGCTTCAGTTCTGTAAAGCACCTTGAATGAACGCAGTGTATGAAAACTGCTATATAAATAAATTTGCTTGTTTGCTATGTTACCACTACCACATTTCAGAAGGAAACATTGTACTTTTTACTTCACTACATTTATTTTACAGCTATAATTAGTAGTTCACAGATTAATTTTTATATGAATATTAAAGTTGCTGACATTAATATGATACTTACATAATTCACCACCATCAGTCCAGCTTAGGTTGTTGATCTTAAATGTTCCATCACTGGGAGTAAATGAGGATCTGTATTTTATGACATTAGACAGAATCTGATTCTTTCCCCCTGCAAGTATTACTGTTCTTTTGCTTAACAATTGGGGCATTATGTAGTTTTCCCTGAACGCGGGAGCGAGCATTATCCGGAACACAAGAGCTTTCATACAGAAATCTCACAATAGACGCGGAAGTAAGAAGAGAAGTTACATGATTTGGACAAATGTCCAGCAGAAAACAGACAACTTCAGCTCTGCTTTGAAAACATTTGTCCTGCATCAGCTCCTTCCATCTGGGAAAATTCACAACAATTATATCCTTTATTTCTGCTGTGATCTGTCTGCATCTGTTCCCACATGTCTGGCTTCATCATGTTTACGCTTCTTTGACGACAAAGATCTACACGCTGTCGGCTGGTGCTAAACAATAGGTGTAGTCCAACGTTCACTTCTCTTCTTACTTCTAATAAACCAGACCACTACTGTACTGTATATTATTATTATTAGTTCCTCTTCTTCTTCTTCTTCTTCGAATGCATTCAAAGTAGTGATATTTAAAGGTTCAGTGTGTAGTATTTCTGAGGTGCTGTCCATCAGCTGGGGGACCACAGTTCCTCCCAAAGCTCTACTGAGCTCCACCCTGTCTGCCATCACATGTTTCCACCGTAAAAGATGTAAACGATTTTGGTCCTTCAATTTCTTCTAAATCAACAGATCTACAGAGACAGTGTGTTTCGCTGCAGTTGTGTTTCTCTCAGACCACAGTTTGCAAACAGGAAGTTATTACACAGGTATATGAAGCTTGAGATACTTGCACTTTACTTGATTATTTGCTATGCTACATTATACTTCCACTCGAATACATACAGGGGGAAGGATCGTACTACTTACTTCACCAGATTTACCTAATTTGCTTTAATTTGACAACATAAAAATTATACTCATATGGTCCTCAGTAATAATACTGCATCAGTAATAATAATCTAATAATAATAATAATCTTATAATAGTGTGTGTGTGTGTGTGTGTGTTAACATGGAAAGCAACACTTTGAATGGGCCATTCAGTACTGTGGGTACGTTTTACTTTAACACATTAAACTGATTTTGCATTGAGAATGTTAAGAAAGTAGGTTTCCACACCTAAAATAAAAGTTTTTAAAAATCCCAAAATCAACAGGTTCATGATGAGCGTTTAGCTCACTTGGTCGGCTCCATTTACAAGGCTCCTTACTGCAGCACCTCAGGCTCGAATCCAGCCTGCGGCCCTTTGCTGCGTGTCGCCCCCATCTTACGGCCTCTTTCCTCACTCTACTGCTCTATCAAATAACATTTCACATGCCTTTAACTGGAATACAGTTTCATTTTACAAATATAAACATGTTGTGTAGTTAATGTTTCCAGTGAAGGTAAGCATCTTGTAGCTGAAATGAAGTGTCAGTAAAGTGTTTTTTTTCTTTACTTTTTCACTTTTTTTACTATAAAGCAACTTTCATGTGAAAACCAGGATTTATAAAGAAAATGGGTAACATCTTAAACTAATTTAAAATTTGTGAAAAACAAGATGTAACAATATTACTATGATAAGTATTTCTTAATGCAGGCAGGAATATGTTCTTGTGAGCAATAACCAAATAACACATCAAATAAATTTCCACTGGTGCAAAATTCCTCCTCTTAGTAGAAAATTTAGTTAAGGCAGAATTATCTGTATAACTGAGTTTCCTCTTTTTTATGTACAGTATCTGTGTTAGAATAAAATAAATCTTTCAGCTTTTGGGCCTTTGAAGTTCTTTGAGATTGAGCAGAATAAGAAGTATTGTAGACATTAAACCAGAGAAAGCTTTCACTTTGTTACAGCAACATAAATCTATGGCAGTCGATTGACATAAGCTGACTCAACATTTAAGTGTCCTGATTCTTGTATGAATGTGGTCCCAGCATGTATTTATCCTATAACTGTATAAAATGTGTCCAATTAAACAAGTTAATAAGCTCACCATTAGAGACTCTGAGTAGCATCAGCAACAGTCCAATCACAGCTTCCATGTCTCCTCAGTGTTCAGCCTCTGTTGACCCAGTTAGCAGCTTCCAGACAAACCTCTCTTCTTTATTCAATAGCAAACATGCACATCCTACACTGATCAGCCTGAAATGTCTTCTCATAGTGATCAGCAGCAAATAAGAAGTTGTGAAAACTATCACCAAGCAGAGTGTTGTTAGAAAGCACAACTGAGAGGGAAAAGAGGAAGCAGGGTTAATGTGGTGCAAAGTTATCAACACTAAAAGCTCCAGAAACAACAAGACATCTGCTTGCCCCAGTTGATATCTTCTCATTTAAAACTATTCTTTGTTGCAGCCATATTGTTATGTTATCAGACAAATATACACCATCACTAACCTTTGCACTACATTTAACGAAGTGAAAAAGTGAAACAAGTAAATTTTCTCTATCATTGGACTTGACAAGCAGAGCAAAGATGAATGCTAGTTGGATGCTTATTTTCACTTTGAGGTTTCACAGCTTTGATCACTAAAACACAAAAAAAGTCTTTCAGAGAGGTGCGTTGGATCAGAAACTGTGAAAGAACTAGTATCTATGCTTTGGTCTTCATCAGGTAAGAATCTAATTAAACACTTATTTACATAATAAGGTGTTTCATCAGGACAGTTGCTATTTCCTATACCAATGCTTGTATGCACTTATAAGGAAACATGAAGTCATTTTAACACCTTCAAGCCCTTAGCGGTGTAACTAAAGTTTTCTTTATTCCGTCAACAAAAATTAATCTACAGTGAGAAGATTATTGGTTTGTCTTTTGTCAGAGGTATCAACCTCGTAATGGACTGACTGACTGAACAAAGCAATATTCTGCCATCTAACTAGAATTTGGGGATGACAACTGTTCAACATCTCGGCTGCTTATTTGTACTTATGAGAGAATTGATTACAAGCTAGTTTAACACGTGTGATTACCAACGGTCCTCACAGCTGTCAAGTTTATTATTTTCAGTGCTCGACATCTTCAAACTGTAAAGTCAATCTTCATACTAAAAGCTTTATGGAGATGCTGGTTTGAGTGAGGTTGTTTGATCAGCTTTACTGACTATTTCATTTCCTCATTTATAAGAGAAACACACATGCAAGGAGCTAATTATGTACATTCACACTGTGCTGTTGGCACACAGCGGTCTAAAGCTCAAAATGTGCAGTCAAGGGTGTAGGTTTCCTGTCAACATTGGTGTTGACACATAACAAGTAGGGGTGGGAATCTCTGGGCACCTCACAATTCGATTTGGTTACGATTCAGAGGGCTGCAATTCGATTTTAAAACGTTGCATCTTCATGCATCATTCTTTTCTATACAGGATCCCTGGATAATTACTAAGCATTTAATTTGTGCATTAAAATCCAAAAGAAGATCAAAAAATATAAAAGTATACAAAAATTCCAATAATACTATAATACAATGCTGACAGGTATGTGCAAAAATTCACATGAGCATAACGCACAGTTGAGCGTTGTTGTAAAGTATGGGGTCAGGAGTGTGTGTGTGTGTTTGGGGAGGGGGGCAACAACCAGACTCCTCTGAAAACTGAAATATAAAGTTAATTATCAGGATGTACAGTGTGTGTACAGGACAGTGCTGTTCTGACAGTTCCCGTCATTCTGCAATTACACCCCCAAATGCTAGTCGGCAGTAGCGCTACAGCGTCCACTGTGTTGACTTTTGCCGGCCGAGCAGGCTAACTTCCAGTTTAGCCCCCTGCTAACGTGAATGGGGGTAAAATTGTAAACGTGCAGCTGGTATAGCCTTTTCAAATGTTATCAACCGAATGGACATTCTGATAGTGAAACGAGTCGCTCGGGTTGTGACGGTCAAATATATTGATCCACCGTGCTGCCGTTTTGGCCGCTAGTAAAAGTTACTTCAAAGCACGGACACTTCCTGTCGGCTCGGAGGCATTGCAAAGCTACCCAGCTGACCAATCACAGAGCCTACGGTCTGCGTCAACTCGACATGTATTTACATTTTTGAGGAGGTGCACGTCAGGCGACGGCGTAGCCTCTGCGTAGCCCCGTATCCTATGCTGTCGATTTGACACAGAAGTATAAATTGCACTTAACAAAAGAGGAACTTATTCTTGTGCAGCTAAGAATTACACAGCAATGTGCCCAGGCGTGAAGTATAATTAAGTAAATTTACTAAAGTGAAGTCTGAGCTCCATCCTCTCTGCCATCACAGTAGGTTTCTAAACCTGGACATTTTGAAACATAAGTTGTAAAAAAAAACTTAAATAATTTTGATCCTTCTGTTTATTCTAAATCAACAGATCTACAGAGACAATGGGTTTTGCTGGAGCTGTGTTTCTCTCAGACCACAGTTTGCAAACAGGAACTTAATACACAGGCACGTGACCAAAAATGAACTGAAAGTACTTTTGCTGAAGCTGGGCCGGCCCGCGGCATAGACAGTTGCCTAGGGGCGCAAAATGTCAGGGGGTATGGCGGGTGGATAGTGCCACGGATAACCTACCAAAGGAGACCGTAGTGTGACAGCTGTGGCGGGTGGATAGTGTCAGAGAGAGGATTACCAGGAGAAGGAGAAGGAGCAGTCTACCCTGCCGTCGCCGCCAGACCGTGTGGATTTTTGAATGGGAGTGATTGGAACTGCAGACAGGAGACCGGCGGCGGATTGGCGGCGAGTGCATGGAATCAACGTCTTCCGGCGGCCACATCACGGCGGCGTATATTAGAATTCCTGTATAAATATATGCCTACTAAATACATCTGAACTAGGTACGTCGCCTTACAACCGTGTGACACACACATCGTCACTAAATACGTCGCCACCAGTAGGCTACACCATTGTCAGTGTAACTCCTATTTTAACTTTATTGAGTGAATTCAAGTCATGTTTTGTACAGCCTGTGTTAAATGCTTTTATTCTTGTGGCGACTGGGAACTCTGGAGTAGCCTACAGTTCATAGCCTGTGTTATGCTTTATTGTTTGGATTCACTGTCCTATAAAATTCCACTGAAGAAGATAATGCTTTCACTTCCCCACAATGTGAAAATGGTTGTATTAGGCCTACAATTACTTATAAAATTAATCATTGAAGTATTAGAGCTGTTTCTGTTGTGGTGGCAGCCCGGCTGACGGTGAGTGTCCTGGTTTTTTCTCCTTTTTATCAGTTGTTCTGTTTTTTTCCCTTGGTTTCCTGTTCTCTGCCCGCCTCCCTGTGTTTTCTCCCCTGTGTGCTCTCTCTCCCTCTGCTCCTGAGCCCAGCCAACTACCTGCACCTGCAACTCATCAGCCACCTCGTCAGCCTGCCACACCTGCCAATAATCACCTCATGACTGCCTGTATTTCAACCCCGGTTTTCCACACCATCCTCGCTTGATTGTCGTTGCTCCATACCCGGTGCCACTTCCGTGTTCAGGCTTCCATGTTTCTTGTTTTTTCACACTTACCCTGTGCCTTGTCGTTGTCTTCCCTAACCTTGTCTCTCTGTCTGTTTCCCTCCCAGGTACACTCACCCTCGTCCTCCGTTCGGCTGGGCTCATCCACTGGCCCACTCCTCTTCAGACTTCCCTCACGGCGTCCTCCCTGCTCCCCCACCTCTCCTCGCTTCCTCGGCCCCTGTGTTCCCCGGCTCCCTGGCCCCCTGTCTCCTTGGTTCCCCGTGCCTGTACTTACCCGACGTCCTCTTCTCCATCCTCTCCAGTCCCTCTCACCCTTTTTCCCCCAATAAACCTCCTTCCCTCAGAGTGCTGCATTTGGGTCCTCTCTGTCTACACACCACACCCCGTAACAGTTTCATGCTTATTCAATTTTTATTATTATTTGTTATGGGTATTTCCTTTGTTATTATTGGCAACAATGTATTTTAAATGTATATTTCTGCATAATGATTTGGATTATTTTGATCATGCTAATGTGTTACTAATCAATGTAATCCTAAAGGAGTTATAAGATACTAAGTTGTCTTATGTCTGCACTTCTTTTTTTTTAGCAGTTACTTTGTTGTTGAAGTACAAGACAGCAAATTAAAAATCTTAAGACCCTCAGTGAAGTTCTTCATTTTCCATCGGGATGCTACACTAAGAGAAACCAGCATACTATTATACAATGATAAAAAAGTATTTTCCCACTCTGCATAGCTTATTGTTAATGCTCATAATATAAAGCTCCCATGATTCTATACCAAGAAGAACATTTAATGTTCAACTGTAGACAAACATACAGGCAGTGTTGGGGAGTAACTACTTACATGCAATTTAGTCAAATAATTTAATTACAAAATAAATGTAAGTGTTATCTGTTACAGTTAGGCCGACTGGTAAAATATGTAATTAAATCACAATTTCTTATGAAAATGTTTAAGATGCCATCTGAATATTTTCTTTAAAAAGCTTGGCTATATGTTGAATAATATTAATTTTGTTGCTTTGCGTGTATTTCATGTGCACATTGTCTTCCTTTGCCATTTCCAGCCACAGTTGTTTAGTAAAGTTTGTTGCTGTTCTGATGCTTTTGATTGGTTCTCATGTTTGAATTTGGAGCGTCACCACTCAATTAAACTGCCTCTCAAGCTGTGTTTTTAAAATGGTTAACCGTTGAAAAACAAAACATTTATGGCAGCATCAAATATGAGGAAAACATTGATGTAAATACTGAAGAAGTCCTTTGGATAAGGGACGAAACGTCTTCCAGTAGCTTCAACCAAGTCCAGTTGCCCTTCATTTTAACCTTCGTTGCATATTGATGTAAATCAATAAACATGTAGCTTGGGGTTGGTCTATTTTTTATATTATAAATGACAGTTGGGTACACAAAGTAAATGATAAAAGCACAATTTTAATCTACAGAATAGACCCAAAAGTAAACATCATGCCAGTCCGTGGCACTATCCACTCGCCATACAGGGGGCACCGCAAGAGAACGCTTTCGACTTGCCGCAATTGAACTCGGCCCAGCTGCTGTGACACTGGCGTACGCCGCGATAGTAATTAAGTGCACCTCGCGGCTCGCTAGTCCAGACAGTTGTTACGAGTCGTGTCGTTGCTCTGTTTTGGACTGTGAGCTGCTCAAGTTAACGTGTGTGTGGATTTGTGGTGAGTGTTTTCCAGTTGGTGTCGGTTTCGGTTTCACATGCAACATGCAGTCTGTGCACTGTGTCTGTCAAACGGTCTAAAGGGGATAATTCCAGCGGAGCAATAAGTAGGCTAATGCAGAGCAGAGGGTAGACTTAAACGATCTTATAAATTCTCATCAAATGATGACGTTAGTCTCTTAATATTACGTCTTTCTTTCGACATGTCAGAGAACACAGATGTGGGAAAGATTCTGAATGTGCAGAAAGTTTTGAACATGAGCAGAAAACCTGCTAAAACACAGGATTTATTAAAGTCCAGTAGTTTTTAACTTTAATTAAAATTTACTTATTTGAGGCGACCTGCACACCCCCATGCAAAACACACAAAAGAGGAGGGAAGACTGAATCATGCCTGCATGTATGCTGTCTCAGTAGGGATTTTATGAAATTAGAAAAATTGATCTACAGGAGAAATATAGGCTATTTAAAAGCAATAGGTACAGAATGTCTGAAAGCCTTACTGCATTGTACATACAGTACAATACATTCAGGAGAAAATATTGAACTTTTTACTTCACCACACTTACTTTAATTTAACATTACAATGATATTCATATGGTCCTATGGTAATAATGTTGCATCAGTAATTCTACTCTAATAATACGTATACTTGTGAACATGAAATACAACATTTTGAATGGGTCATTCAGTACTGCGAGTGGATTTACTTTTAATACGTTAAGCATTCAACATCGTTTTCCACATCTTAAAAGTTTCACATTCACAGGCACATTAAACTCAGTTGGTAGACCGCGCGACCCATGTGAAAAGCTCCTTACTATATATATATACTCACACATATGAACTGTGAGCATCACGTAGCTGCAATGAAGTGTAGGTACAAGGTTGTAAAGTTGTTGTTTTTTCCTGCACTTTTTCACTTTTTTTTTTCTTTGAAGAAACTTTCAGGAAAAATGTGAAAACAAGGATTTATAAAGAACATGGGTAACATTTTAAATTACATTTAAGAAAAACAAGATATAGAAAATATTAACATAATTATTTAATTAGATCTCTCTTTTTTTACTGAAAATTAAATGGGGACTGTAAGTATCTCTTAATGCAGGCAGTTACAGTTTCCTCTTTTTTACATACAGTATCTGAGTGAGAATACAATACATCTTTCAGCTTTTGGGCCTTTGAAGTTCCTTGAGATTTAGTCATAATCATTAGGTCAATTATGTGCTTTTAATTTCATGTACTCTTGTATATTTTTTGTATATGTTATTTATAGCTTAATTTCAATTGTATAACAAAAAACTGCTTGAATTTACCCTCATATGTAAATAATATTTGTACACAAACCATTTTTAAGATTAAAACAGAGAAAGCTGACAAAACCTATTTATTTTCCCGATTCTTGTCTGAATGTGTTCCCGGCATGGGTCAGTGTTTGAGCTGGAAAACACATCACTGAAGAGCCTGAAATGTCTTCTCTTAGTTATCAGCTGCAAATAAGGTGTGAAAACTCTGACCAAGCAGAGTGTTGTAAAAATTACAGCTGAGAGGGGAAAGATTAAGTAGTTAGAGTTAACATGGTCAGCAGTTGCAAATTATCATAAAAGCTCCATAAACAAAAAGACTGCTTTCCCCAGTCAATATCTTCTCATTTATAACTATTCTCCAGTTGCAGCCTTTATGTCATGTTATGGTATCAGACAAATTCACAACATCAATGACCTTTGCACTATATCCAACTAACTGAAAAAGTAAACATTCGCTCTATTTTTGGACTTGACAAGCAGAGAGAGAATCATTGCAAGTTGGATGCTCATTTTCACTTTGAGGTTTCATAGCTTTAACCACTAAAACAGAAATCTTTTAGAGAGGTGCATTCTATCAGAAACTCTGTGAAAGAAGTAGTATTGATGCTTTGGTCCTCAGACCATCATCAGGTAAGAATCTAATTAAACACTTATTTACAAAATAGACTGAACTAATTCAAAACATATAAAAAAAGTTGTCTAGGAAAAAAAAGTCTATATTTCCTACCCAGGATGCTTTTATGCACTTATAAGGAAACATGAAGTAATTTTAACACCTTCAAGACTCTGGTACATCATCAGAGCTCATGTTTCAGGAATCACTCTCAACACTGGACTACTTTAAACAGTTAAACCTCAAAACATCCTCAGACATTACGGTAATGATTCTTTGTGTGCGTGTCATTTACATAGTAGAAGCACAATATTGCAGCAAACTGGTAATTTCAGTTCCTCATTTATGTTTGATCACCAAATGTTCAAATGATTGTCCTCGACTATTATGCTTCAACTCATTATTTAATGTTGAGCAATTTATAAGAATTTCTTTTGAATTTCATATTCAATTACCAGTGTAGCTAAAGCTTTCTATTCTTTATTCTTTGACAAAACCGACATAATGGTGCGTTCTTTCATTATTTCGTTTCAAAACCAAATTGGAAAAACCAAAAAACCAAGTCCTTGGTTTCGGTTTTAAAACCAAAATGGAAAAACAGAAAACCAAAAAAACAGAAATTGTTTTGTTTTTCTTTTTTAAACCCATTAATGAAAACAAAGCAACTGCGTTTTATTCTATCTTTGACTGGTGTTGTATCCCTACAACCCGTTCTCGACTCGTCACATATTAGGGCAAGGTCTGTTTGTAACGCACTGGGGATCCTGTCATAGGTCAGCGCAGTGGGGGAAGCCCTGTAGCGTCAGTTTGTGACGGTAAAGGCAGGTAGGCTATATGATATTTAACAGTAAAGACTGAGAATGTGGTTGGGGGAAATGGAGGGCCAGAACCAGGAGAACGGTGTTCGTGTACAGTGTGAAACAACAAGTCAGTATTAGGCTTTCTTTTCAAGTCACATCTCAAATCAACATGATTGTAGAAGTGAGCACTATAGGCCTTTTACAGAGCATCTCTTTACAAGAAAACATCAATATTCTATTATATTATATATAAAAGATCAGGTTTTGGGAAGTTTTATTAACTAGACAAGCTCAAACAGTAAACCAACAAGATGTTAAGGCCAATGCTGCAGAGATGCTGAAGGATAAAAGCAAACTGTTACAAAAGCACAATTGCTACCAGGATGCCCTGACACCACCACCCACAGGTGTGCGCCACCAACAAAAGACAGCAAGTCACACAAATAAACCACCACACAATAAGGCTCAGTTAAAGGTCCGCACACAGCTGTCATATGCACACACCACAACGTGCGGTGAAGGGGAGAGGGGCTCCCACAGTCCACCACCCTGTCAGTCTGGCAGAGCACTTGAAAAAGAGGGAAAAAGGGCTGACGGAAGTCACGCAGCCCAAAAACAAGTAAATCACCCCACCATTAGCAGAACCTAGCAGTTGGCAAAAACATTCACAGGGCCCATCCAATTGTAACAGAGTCTCATAAAAAGAACCCCCATTTAAAATCAGGGCACAAAAATCAGCAGTTGATCAGGCAGGCAAGACAGCAGTGGCTATACAACCCAGGAACATTAACTCGATCCAGTTATCATCGCATATTACACTCAGCCTCCAAGAAACAGACAGGATGACCAAGTAAACAGCAGATTTCCCCCCCAATACTCAAGTTTTGTCTCTAATTCCTTTAAATAAAGCCAATGCAATACAAAAAGAGACTTTTAAATGCTTTAGAAGCAATTATTTTCTTTTAACGTTGAAAGCCTCAAGTATCAGGCTACACATGTGAAATGCTGTCTGTAAAGAGGGTGCAGGTGATTGGTATTAAAGGTGGGTGACCCGGGTAGGGTGGACAGGTTGGAGCTGTGTCTAGTACAGGTCACCATGTATTACAATTTCCTTATGCACAAAAACAGTGCCACAATTACAAGGTGTTGTTGGTTACCATAAATCATGATGTAAATATCTGAAAGTGACAACAGGGCCCTTTTCTGGTGCTGGAGGCAGGAGGGGTGTTCTGCTTTGTCCTGCCAGTCCAGCATTTATCTGAACAGAGAGTGATGGTAGGTGATGGGACGAGCCTTGATACTATCATCAGTCCTCAATCACCTGTCTTGGGACTCAATTTCGCTTTTACTTTACTTTACACAGGTACAAACAGTGCAAAACAGAATTAAACCCAAGAAAGGCAGTAAAAGACTTGAAAACCCCAGAGCCAGAGATAATGTTTGACTCTCATTAATGCTCACCAGGTTTCACACATAAGGATGCCTACATAACTTATGAGAGCAACAGGTTGCATTGAAATATTTAATCTACTTAACTAATATAATAAAGTATACTACACTGGAGAAAAATGCAAAGGAAAATAAAAAGTATAAACCTCCACAGATTTGTTTTGGAAGAGTTTTGTTTTGACACATAACAGTAGATGGTGGAAGCTGAGAGTTTTTAGCAGCTATGGCACCATAGAAAGAAGCTGGAAGGCAGGTGAAGTTCTGCACACCCTTCAAACTCAGTGATTAGCTTCCTCTGGTAGCAGTGCAGCCTTCTCTTTGATATAAACACAAGTCAAAAGGTCAAAACCTTGTTGCCTGTTGGCGCCACAGAAGGGGGCAGAGTGACCTCTGCTGGTTGAGCTCCCACATAGCAAGAAGGCCTATAAATATGTTAATAAAACTAAAACATGAATTAAATTATATAAACTTAAATAAATAGGCTAACTGCGATCCTAAGCTACATGTAACATTAGTTCACTTGTCTTAATCTGAAGTTACAGGTCACCAATGGCCTTACAATTGTTTAATTCTCCTTAACAGCCAGAGCTATTATTTTATTATTTTTATTTATTTTTATTTCAGTTAATTAAAATGTTTTTTTTTCCACACCCAGATTTATTTTAGTTTTATAACCTATTAAAAACGTTATTTTAGTTTAGCTTTAGTCTAAAATCACCTCTTTAACTACATGGTACATGGGCTACTTTTATTTTGAAGGTTTTACCGGTTACTTTCACTTCCATATAAGGAATAGACCATGTTATGACCTGGCTCAAAAGGCCACAACAAAAGGGAGACACACCATGGTAAACGGTTAACATGTGTTTATTTAACGAAAATAAGCCAAATCAATAGTTACTTCAAATTAACATAATTAAAGTATGAGGTATGTTGTCTGCGGTTTCAGTAGTGTCTGTGCAGGATGATGGCTGCATGAATGTATGTGTGAAGGTGTTGTAATATGCAAACAAGACAAATAACACAACGCAACAGTCCAACCATTAGAATTAAACATTTGTAAGGCCATTGGTGAACTTCAGATTAAGACAAGTGAACTAATGTTATATGTAGTTTAGGACAGCAGTTAGCCTATTTATTTAAGTTTATATTATTTAATTCATGTTTTAGTTTCCTAACATATTTATAGGCCTTCTTGCTATGTGGGATCTCAACCAGCAGAGGTCACTCTGCCCCCTTCTGTGGCGCCAACAGGCAACAAGGTTTTGACCTTTTGACTTGTGTTTATATCAAAGAGAAGGCTGCACTGCTACCAGAGGAAGCTAATCACTGAGTTTGAAGGGTGTGCAGAACTTCATCTGCCTCCCAGCTTCTCTTTCTATGGTGCTATAGCTGCTAAAAACTCTCAGCTGCCACCATCTACTGTTATGTGTCAAAACAAAACTCTTCCAAAACAAATCTATAGAGTTGTATAATTTTTATTTTCCTTTCCATTTTTCTCCAGTGTAATATACTTATTATGCTTGTTAAGTAGATTAAATATTTTTTATGCAGCTGTAGTTCTCATTAGTTATATAGGCATACTTATGTGTGAAACCTCATGAGCATTATTGAGAGTCAAAAAGCATCTCTTCTGGATCTGGGGCTTTTACTGCCTTCCTTGGGTTTAATTCTGTTTAATGAGCCACCAGAAATCTATGCACTGTTTGAACCCATGTAATGTAAAATAAAAGTGAAACTGAGTCCTAAGACAGGTGATGTGAGCCTGTGCAGGGTTTGAGGACTGATGATAGTATCAAGGCTGGCCCCATCACCTATCATCACTCTGTTCAGATAAATGCTGGACTGGCAGGACAAAGCAGAACACCCCTCCTGCCTCCAGCACCAGAAAAGGGCCCTTTTGTCACTTTCAGATATTTACATCATGATTTATGGTAACCAACAACACCTTGTAATTGTGGCACTGTTTTTGTGCATAAGGAAATTGTAATACATGGTGACCTGTACTTCTAAAGCATTTAAAATTCTCTTTTTTGTATTGCATTGGATTTATTTAAAGGAATTAGAGACAAAACTTGAGTATTTGGGGGGGAAATCTGCTGTTTACTTGGTCATCCTGTCTGTTTCGTGGAGGCTGAATGTAATATGCAATGGTAACTGGATCGAGTTAATGTTCCTGGGTTGTATAGCCACTGCTGTCTTGCCTGCCTGATCAACTGCTGATTTTTGTGTCCTGATTTTAAATGGGGATTCTTTTTATGAGACTCTGTTACAAGTGAATGGGCCCTGTGAATGTTTTTACCAACTGCTAGGTTCTGCTAAGGGTGGAGCAGTTACTTGTTTTTGGGCTGCGTGACGTGTGAAGACTATTGGATCTGAACGGTCGACATGGGCCTACAAATGTTGTAGATTTTGAACTAAATCTACATCTGTCCGCTGCAGAGGCTCTAACCACAGCCTGGAAGAGGAACTAGTATAAATGATTACTGGTATAATATAACATTAATATTATTTACTGTAGGTTTTAGTCTTCACTAACCCACTGTGCTTGTAAATCATTTATGGGCATATGTGAGTGAAAGAGTTGCACTGCAGAGCCCTGCTTCACTGTACTGTTGTTCATACTAGCCTACTGTATATAATGTGTATTAAAAGACATACACTGGGTACGGAAAGTATTCAGACCCCTTTAAATTTTTCACTCTTTGTTTCATTGCAGCCATTTTCCAAAAATCAAAAAAGTTCATTTTATTTCTCAGTAATGTACACTCAGCACCCCATCTTGACAGAAAAAAAACTGAAATGTAGAAATTTTTGCAAATTTATTAAAAAAGAAAAACTGAAATATCACATGGTCATAAGTATTCAGATAATAATAATAATACAGCCATGAGTCGTTTTGGGAAAGATGCAACAAGTTTTTCACATCTGGATTTGGGTATCCTCTGCCATTCCTCCTTGCAGATCCTCTCCAGTTCTGTCAGGTTGGATGGTAAACGTTGGTGGACAGCCATTTTCAGGTCTCTCCAGAGATGCTCAATTGGGTTTAAGTCAGGGCTCTGGCTGGGCCATTCAAGAACAGCCACGGAGTTGTTGTGAAGCCACTCCTTCGTTATTTTAGCGGTGTGCTTAGGGTCATTGTCTTGTTGGAAGGTAAACCTTCGGCCCAGTCTGAGGTCCAGAGCACTCTGGAAAAGGTTTTCGTCCAGGATATCCCTGTACTTGGCCGCATTCATCTTTCCCTCGATTGCAACCAGTCGTCCTGTCCCTGCAGCTGAAAAACACCCCCACAGCATGATGCTGCCACCACCATGCTTCACTGTTGAGACTGTATTGGACAGGTGATGAGCAGTGCCTGGTTTTCTCCACACATACCGCTTAGAATTAAGGCCAAAAAGTTCTATCTTGGTCTCATCAGACCAGAGGATCTTATTTATCACCATCTTGGAGTCCTTCAGGTGTTTTTTAGCAAACTCCATGCGGGCTTTCATGTGTCTTGCACTGAGGAGAGGCTTCCGTCGGGCCACTCTGCCATAAAGCCCCGACTGGTGGATTGCTGCAGTGATGGTTGACTTACTACAACTTTCTCCCATCTCCCGACTGCATCTCTGGAGCTCAGCCACAGTGACCTTTGGGTTCTTCTTTACCTCTCTCACCAAGGCTCTTCTCCCCTGATTGCTCAGTTTGGCCGGACGGCCAGCTCTAGGAAGGGTTCTGGTCGTCCCAAACGTCTTCCATTTGAGGATTATGGAGGCCACTGTGCTCTTAGGAACCTTAAGTGCAGCAGAAATTTTTTTGTAACCTTGGCCAGATCTGTGCCTTGCCACAATTCTGTCTCTGAGCTCTTCAGGCAGTTCCTTTGACCTCATGATTCTCATTTGCTCTGACATGCACTGTGAGCTGTAAGGTCTTATATAGACAGGTGTGTGGCTTTCCTAAACAAGTCCAATCAGTATAATCAAACACAGCTGGACTCAAATGAAGGTGTAGAACCATCTCAAGGATGATCAGAAGAAATAGACAGCACCTGAGTTAAATATGAGTGTCACGGCAAAGGGTCTGAATACTTATGACCATGTGATATTTCAGTTTTTCTTTTTTAATAAATTTGCAAAAATTTCTACATTTCTGTTTTTTTCTGTCAAGATGGGGTGCTGAGTGTACATTAATGAGAAATAAAATGAACTTTTTTGATTTTTGGAAAATGGCTGCAGTTTCAGTCTATAATCACCTTTCTAATTGACCCACTGAAAATGTTGCACATACAGTTGATGACAATTCTACATGACAGATTCTGCAAAGGCAAAATGAAATATCTGAGCTGCTCATACAACCACACAGAGAAAGCCAACTGCCACCAAGACAAATACCTGTTTTTGAAGGTGACCCACTGAAGTTCTAAATGTCCATGCAAGCCTTTAGGCACTGTGTAGGAGAAAGCTGCATCTGAAGGTGATTGCATGTATTATTTGGAAAGGTACACCAGAGGGCGCCCACACGACCTTGTACAAAGCTGTTTACATATGAGTGCAGAGAGGTTTTGAAACAGCTAAAGCCCTCCTACAGGAACACTTCGGTAATGAAACAAAGATCACAGCAGCATATATGGAAAAGGTTCTCAACTGGCCTGGGGTAAAGGCTGAAAGTGTTTAGTTACTGCAGGACTATGCATTATTTTTATGTGGATGCAATAATGCAATGTCAGATTTAGAGGACATGAAAGAGCTGGACATGTCTGCCAACCTGAAAATTGTTGTTTCAAAACTTCCATTTAAATTAAGGAAAAAATGTTTACATTCTGCATGTGATATTTGGGAGAGACACAACCGCAGACCAAACCTTTATGACGTTGTACACTTTGTGGAATATCAAGTCAAAATCTTGTTTGATCCTATTTTTGGTGATGTCCAAACTACTGAAAGGGTTATGCATGTTAAAAGGGATGTGTATACAGCAAAATCTAAGTTGAAGCGAGACAACTTTGCTACAAACGTCTGCGCTGTTAGCAAAGTGCAACACAAGGACACACAAGATGATAAACGTAAGGACAATATCTGCAGCAATTGTTTATTCTGTTTACAAGAGCACAGTATGGATGAATGTCAATGATTTGCCAAGAACAAACATCATGAAAAGATCAACTTCTTAAAGGAAAAAGGAGTTTGCTTTGGGTGTCTCAACACTGGTCATTTGAACAAAAATTTTGATAAGCGCAAAAAACCTGTGAAAAATGCAAACGGAGCCATCCAACAGCTTTACACATTCATGCATAGGCTTAATCTCACTGGGACAAAGTCAATGGAACAAGGTACTACAGTCTTCCAAATGTTTACACACAGAAAACAATGCCATTGAATACAGCAAACATCATCAAACAAGAAGACCTTAAACAGTGGCCTTACCTTGAGCACAATGAAATCCCTGAAATTGATGCCAGCGTGGAGTTATTAATAAGTACTAATGCTTCAAAGTTGGTAAATTGTGAATAGCCAAGGTGAGGGTCCCTTTGCTGTTAAAACCCTATTAGGGTGGGTGATCAATGGCTTAGAAAAGGATTGCGAAGACAACATGAATGACAGATTATCTGTGGAATCACTTCAGCTGCTATTGGAGAAGCAGTACCAAAATGACTTCAATGACAAAATCACCGACGACAAAGAAGAAATGTCAAGACAGAAGGCAAGATTCATTGAAATAATGGAACAATCTGTAAACTTAAAGGACGGACATAACAGTTTAAAGCTGACATTCAAAGCCCAGAGGTAACACTGCCAAACAATCAGATCAACGGTGCCTCATTGGACAAAGAAATGAGAAGTTCCACCAAGAATACACAAACTTTCTTGAGGATGATCCAGTGGAAGAAGATGATCCAGAGGTCAAACTGGAGATCTCTACAAACACAGTAACTATTCAAGAGGATAATGCAACCCATCAACTCACACATAGTTGCAAGGTTGCTCAAGGTCAAAAAGACTCTATTGGAGTTGAGTCGAAGAAGAAAGCAACTTGTGATGGTTGAAATGGCTGATCTTTGTTATGTTGACAAGAAAATGTTGGAAGCCAGAAAGTTGTTGGGACGAGACAGTGTATCAACTGAGGATCTATTGGCAGCAGAAAACGCTATCCTTCAGTTCTGTCAGAGGGAAAGATTTGACAAAGAGATTTGTGCAGGACAAGGACAGGAAAACTTGTAAAAAAGTGTAGTCCTATCTACAAACTGAATCCTGTCCTAGAGGATGGACTGTTAAGAGTAGGTGGAAGATTATCCAGGACTGCAATGCCCGAAGAGGGCAAACACCCAGTCATCCTGTGTAAAGATCAGTACATCTCCATGTTAATTCTTAAAAATGTTCATGAACAGATGAGGCATGGTGGGAGAAATTACATCCTCTCCAAATTGAGAGAAAGGTTCTGGGTCACTCATGCCAATGCAGCAGTAAGGAAAATCTTGTCAAGTTGTGCTTTCTGCAAGTGTCACAAAGGAAAAATGTGTGATCAAAAATGGCTGATCTCCCCAAAGAAAGGATTACTCCAGACTTACCTCCATTTACTAATGTGGGAGTGGACTATTTTGGGCCCATTGAGGTAAAACAAGGATGTTCCTATGTGAAATGTTATGGTGTTATCTTTACATGCATGGCCAGCAGGGCAGGTCATTTAGAAGTAGCACACTCAGTGGACACAGACTCTTGCATCAGTAAGGGTAATCTTACAGCAGGAGATATCGTTTTGGTTGCAGATGCTATAGCACCACGAAATTCTTGGATGACTGGAATAATTATTAAATCATTTCCAGATAAATCTGGCATAGTCAGATCTGTGCAAATCAAAACCAAAACAAACGTAATTGAAAGAACAATGTAAAAGTGAACAAACGCACCAAAGTGTCACGCCGCCCCAAGCAGGGAGGTGACAGCTGTGTGTTGTGTGCTTGTTTTGAGTTATTTTTTCCCCTTTTGGAGTGTGTGAAAGGTGCTTGGTGGGTTTTGGTTTTGTCTGTCTTCCTGTGGCGTTCCCCCTCTCTCTCTCCCTCTCCTTCAGGGCGGATGTTGTGGGCCGGGCCCCTGAGAGCTGGGCGTCTTCCTCCAGCTGCAGGCAATTACTCCTTACACACCTGTTTCCCATTTTCATCTGAACCGGTTCTTCTTTCTTCTGAACCCTGCCATCTCCTCAGTTCCCCGCCGGATTATTAGTGGTATAGTAGGTAACGCTACTAGCAGTCTAACCAGCCTCATGAACCATGTGTCCGTTTTTGACCTTGTTTTCCTGTGCCCTGTTTAGAGTCCGTGGAGACCCCGCTCTACCCTGGAAGTCTCGCCGTTTCCCGCCTGCCTAGTTACTCGTCCTGCCTGGCCTACCTCATTCTGTCTCGCCGCATCTGTCTACCTTTTTCTTGTGTTCAATAAACTGCTTCCTACCCTCCTGAACCGTGTCTCTGCCTGCATTTGGGTTCGAGCCACGTGAAGTCCTGACACAAAGAGGGCTTTATTTGGTTATTTTTATTGTAAGATATTTTTTGTTGTATTGTCTCCATACATGTATATGTTTAATTGTTATGTCTTGTAGTACCATGAACAATTAGGGGCCGGTTGTGTTGGAGCCATTCTGTATATTGGGATGGGGTGGTGCTGTGTTCTGCTACAAGTCTACTTAAGACAGGTGTTGATTAGTGCAGGTGTGGCACACAGCAAGGTGCATGGTTTTTGACCGTGAGGCACGGCGTGTAATCATGGAGACTGACTTGAGTTAAGTTTATTATTTAAGAAATGTTTAATTTATTGTTATGTTAATAAATGGATTGGCGTATCCGACTTTAAGTTGAAAGTTTATTATTTTAAGCCACAAGGAAACAGCACGCCCACAACACGCGTGCAAAACAACTTACATGTGCGCCAACACTGTCTGCCATCACGTTTCCATACCTGGAAATTGTGAAATATAAGTTATGTAAGTGTTGTTGCATAAATACTTGTGTTTTCATGATGCGCAGTTCATAATTGCTGTTATAATTTCATGTAACAAATATAACTTAATTTGGTGTAAAGATAAAATGTAATACATGTTTAAGAACTAAAGGGTAGAATAAGCTGCTAAATGATATGTGGTTAACAGTGTATCTATCTCATTCTGTATATTTACGTTTGTCCCGGAACTAATGTTTTCTGTCTGTGTTACCGCTACAACGGTTTAAGTCGACACTCACTGCCTTGAATTCCGGCGGAGCAGATAGCTCCGATGCTTGTTAAACTGCATAAAAGTTAAAAATGTGGTTTGAAGTTAATACAGACGACCAAATGGACATTCAAGAGACTTCAAAGAACTTAGTAACCTCTTTTCACGACAAGCGGCCAACGAGGTATTATTATATGTCTTTATTGATCTGGATGTTGTTTGTATTTTCTCTGCTAAGCTATAATGTATTGATTTATTTGTACTGTGTTCACTTACAATGTAGTTCTCACGGCGTATAAGGCATATACGACGTTCAAGGCGTACATGGTGTGAAGCTGGATGTACCAAAGAGACCCGATGTGCCCACAGCAATAAACGCCCGTTGCAAAGAACTGACCTGTGTCTGTGTTGTCGCGAAGAGAGCTACAGTGAGAACTCGACCTGCTCGGCGCGGGTATGAGAGAAGACGAGATTACGGCGGGTAACGACGTGATGAAGATCCAGCATGTAAGATAAGCAAAGCCCAGGACACACTGTCGACATAGCTACCACAAGCAAATGTTATAAGACTTTGTTAAAAGGTGCGACTTTCCGTATAAAGGCCAGAAAGAGCTCTACCAAAGCCATCTTAAGTCAAGTGGTGTGAGAAGTGGTTTAACTTGGAAATTGCAGTTAAGGATTTAAGTCTATTACCCTTGCATACTGTTTAGCCTGTGTTTAAGAAAATATCTAATGTGCTGGTATTCATGATTGTTACATGCAACAAATCTAAAAGGAAGAAAGTTCAAGCCCCTTAAGCAAATTAACACGTTTCAGTAAGGTTAAAGGAAAGTACATTGTAATTTATTTTCTTTATTTATACTTTGAAAGGTAACAGAAGTTAAAGTATAACTTAAGCTAAGTTTAAAGAGTAATTTCATTGATGTTTTTTCAATTTCAAGTGTAAAAACAAGTGTTTTGATGCCTTTTGAGCATATTTAATTCACAATTAAGGTTTATGTTAATTAAGGTTTGTGTTTTGCCAAACTAATTCCTAGTTTAAGCTAACTTGAAGTCTAAACAAGTTTAAATACTGACACAGTTTGTGGTACAACATTTACGTATTCAGAGTTAGACTTCGCTCACTGTCTTCACACATCTGTTAAGATTCAAATAATTACTAAAATTTCCTAGTTAATCACACTTAGCCTACTGTAGCTTACACACAGCCCAAAATGTCAAACTCAAGTCCTGAGACCTGTCATGAGAATAGAAAATCATCTGCTCAAGCCGAAACTATAGACATTGGAGCTACAGAAGATGTAGAAAGGCTACGAAGAAGCGAAAGAACCCGAACCCTAACAGAAAAGGGAAAAGAATTCGAAGAAGAAAAGCTAAAGAGCATACAACGTCGGTATAGAATACTCTATGAGAAGTGGAGGTATCACGCAAGAACAAGCAAAGAAATACTGAATGATGAGGCCTCCGAAGACGAATTGTATGAGCTAATTGAGAACATGAAAGCTACGTGTTCTGATGTAAAGATGGTTTACGAAGAATTACGTAGAGTCCAAGCTCCTGAAGCAGAACTGCGACGTAGAGTAGACACATGTATATCGCTGTCAGGATTTATCATTCAAAAGGCAGAAAGGCATCTTAAAGGCATCACAACAGAAGATCCCTGGCCTGATGTTGGATCGATCCTGAACTCTACATGTTCTCCATCAAGACCACTGTCACATCAATCACAATGTGGTTCTGTCAACTCTAGCTTCCACTCGCTTAAAAAACATGAGGCTGCTGCCGAAGCTGCTGCATCGCAGGAGGTTTTAGCGGTGTTGGATGAACAAGAAAAGGAAATGACAGAACTTCAAAGGTTAGAGGTTGAAGATAAGCAACGACTGGCACAGTTTGAGTCTGAGAACCTTGCTAGACAGCAAGCGATGCAAGAGCAGCGTAGAAAACTCGAACGTCTTGAAGAAGTGAAGAAACTGAATGCCGCAAGAGCTCGAGTAAAGGTCTACGACCAAATCGAAGAAAACTTCAAAGCGATTGACTTGCCTCATACTGTTGCATTAGCAGGAGAACCTCAAACACTCTATGCTTCAAGTCCCCCATTCATTCCTCCATCTCTACCAGTCGCATCACAAATTCTCAATGCCTCAAGTCCCCCATTCAGTCCTCCATCCCTACCAGTCGCATCACAAACTCTTCTTGCCTCAAACACCCCGTTCATTCCTCAATCTCTTCCAGCTACAATGCAAGCCCTTCATAGTCCACAAAGCCTTCAACTGGTATCTCAAGCCCCATCAACTTTAGTGCCCATACCTCAAGTGCAGAACAGCTCTGATTTGGTCAACGTTCTAGCAGAAGCTATAAGTGCTAATCGTCTTCCAACTCCAGAGCCCTCATTATTCACTGGAGATCCTTTGAAATTCAAAGATTGGCAATTATCCTTTGAAGCGCTAATCAATAGGAAAAACATTCCAAAGAACGAAAAACTGTACTACCTTAGAAAGTACCTTGGTGGCGCTGCAAAGAAAGCTGTAGAAGGATTTGTCCTACTAGGAACGGAATCAGCATACGACTCAGCCTGGCAGCTGCTGGAAAAGCGTTTCGGAGACCCTTTCGTGATTGGGAAGTCCTTCAGAAACAAGCTGCACGCATGGCCAAAAATAAGCTCTAAGGATGGGTTTGAACTAAGAGAATTTGCAGACTTTCTTAGGAGCTGTGAAACAGCAATGCCCTACATTAGAACATTGGAAGTTCTGAACGACTGCAATGAGAGTCAAAAAATCCTACTGAAATTGCCTGACTGGTTGGTATCCAGATGGAATCGCAAGGCAATGGAAGTCAGACAAACAAGAGCTGAGTATCCACCGTTCAAAGAGTTCGTAGAATTTCTGTCGAAGGAAGCAGATCTTGCTTGTGATCCCATATCTTCGGTACAGGCGCTGAAGAATGTGGAAAGTGAGAAACCAAGGTACCCACGAAACCAACCCATACAAGCTAAAACACTGTCTACAAACACAACAGAGAGCAGCATTCCATCGTGTGGTTTCTGCAAAAGAACAGGGCATGTTCTCGCCAAGTGTAGAAGGTTCCTTGAAAAGACAGTTCAAGAGCGCGTCAAGTTTGTACAGGTGGAGAAGCTTTGCTTTGGATGTCTAAAGGCTGGTCATCATTCGAGAAGATGTGATAACAAGAACACATGCGAAAGGTGCCAGAGGAGACATCCAACATGTTTGCACGATGACAAGGTCAGTGAACGTCAAAGGTCATCACCTCTAAAGGGAGAAGAACACTTAAAGTACAAGGCAAACATCAAAGAGATGACTGCAACTGCAACCACAAACAGAGTCGTACAAGACGGCGTAAGCACACAAACCTCTTCAATTGTTCCTGTCTGGATCTCATCCACAAAACGACCAGATCAAGAAGTTCTTGTCTATGCGCTCCTAGACACACAGAGCGACACAACCTTTATTCTAGATGAAGTGGCCCAGGAGCTCAACACAAACAAAGAAAATGTCAGTTTGCGACTATCCACAATGTCTACAAGGTCGACAGTCATACCCTGTCAAAAGCTAACAAACCTGCAAGTGAGAGGATACAACTTAGAGAAAAGGATTCCATTACCATCACTTTTCACACGAGAGTTTATCCCAGCCGACAGATCGCACATTCCAACCTCTGAAACAGCACTAAAATGGCCTCATCTGGAACAATTAGCAGACAAGATTCCACCACCATTGGACTGCGAAGTAGGCCTATTGATTGGTTATAACTGTCAGCAAGCTCTTCTACCAAGGGAAATCCTGGCGGGCAAAGAGAACCATCCATACGCGCAGAGAACTGATCTCGGCTGGAGCATAGTCGGCTGCTCAAATCTAGAAAGTGACTGCAGTGATGCAATAGGAACCAGTCATAGAATCATAGTGCGACAGGTGACGCCTGCAGTGCATCAATCAGTTGAGTTAAAGAGAGAAGTACACTTTGCCTGCAGAACTCAGGTCAAAGAGATTAGTCCAACAGACATCATCAAGGTTCTCGAATTCGATTTCGCAGATCACACTACGGATGACAACCTCGTTTCTCAGGAAGACCTTCTTTTCTTGTCCAAGGTAGAGAAGGGTATAAAGCACAAGGAAGACGGCCACTACGAACTACCACTTCCTTTCAAGACGGACAAACCTAATCTCCCAGACAATAAGCAATGTGCTGTTCGAAGGCTCGCCTCTTTAGAGCGAAAGTTGAGAAAAAATGAGCAGTATAACAAGGATTATGTCCGTTTCATGAATGACATAATAACTCTAGGAGATGCTGAGAAGGTCCCATGGAATGAACTCGATAATCAATCAGTGTGGTACATTCCGCACCATGGAGTCTATCACCCCCACAAACCTGGGAAGATCCGTGTCGTTTTCGACTGTTCAGCACGTTTCCAAGAAACCTCTCTAAATGATCATCTTCTGACCGGGCCAGATCTGACCAACACATTAGTCGGAGTACTATTTCGATTTAGAAAGGGTCCAATAGCCATTATGTGCGACATTGAAAGAATGTTTCATCAATTTCATGTCGCAAAGGAACACCAAGACTACTTAAGATTCCTCTGGTGGGACAAAGGCGATCTGGACTCGAAACCCTCAGTGTACAGAATGAAAGTGCACTTGTTTGGAGCAGCATCGTCCCCTGGCTGCTCCAACTTTGGACTCAAACATCTGGCATCTCAGGGTCATGGAATGTTCAGCGAGGAGTCCATCAAGTTCATCCAAAGAAGCTTCTATGTTGACGATGGCTTAATAAGCGTAAAAACAATCGATGAAGCCATTCATCTGGTGGAAGAGTCTAGAGCCTTGTGCAGAACAGGAAATCTTCGGCTGCACAAGTTTGTGTCCAATGAAAAGGAAGTAACCGCCGCAATACCACCAGAAGAACGTGCACAGACCAAAGATCAAGATATGGCCTTAGGAGAATTTCACATCGAGCGAGCACTTGGAGTTCAGTGGTGCATCGAAACTGATGAATTCAAATTCAGAGTCGTGGTTAAAGAGAGCCCACTGACAAGAAGAGGAGTTCTCTCTACAGTCGCCTCTGTCTACGATCCGTTAGGGTTTGTAGCCCCCTTTATATTAGTCGGCAAACAGATCCTGCAAGAGCTATGTAGAGAAAAGGTAGGCTGGGATGAAGATCTTCCCGAACACATTCTGCCAAGATGGGAGTTATGGCTTAAGGATTTGCCACACCTGGCAGCACTGAATGTTCCAAGAAGTTACCTTCCATCACATTTTGACTCAGTCATGCGTTATGAGTTACACAACTTTTCAGATGCAAGTCTCAATGGATACGGTGCATGTTCTTATCTCCGAGCAATAAGTGAAACAGGACAGATCAGTTGTTCACTTGTCATGGGGAAGGCAAGAGTAGCCCCTACCAAGCTAACGACCATCCCGAGACTTGAATTGTCATCAGCTGTGACTTCAGTGCGCAACGGCGATGTTGTAAAAAGGGAGCTTGAGATTGAGAACTTAGAAGAGTATTACTGGACTGATTCGAAGGTGGTTCTTGGCTATGTGAACAATGATGCAAAGAGGTTCCACACATTCGTAGCCAATCGGATCCAACGTATAAGAGCTAGCACGAATCCTGAACAATGGCGACATGTCAGCTCTGGAAATAATCCAGCCGACCATGCCTCAAGAGGACTGACTTCGGTTCAGTTGAAGGAGTCGAACTGGCTGAAAGGACCTGACTTTCTTTGGCAGCAGAATCTTCCATGTAAAGAGGAAATGGTGGGAGAAGTTGAAATGACCGATCCTGAGCTTCGCAAAGCCCATGTTCATGCAGTCAAGATGAAAGAGGTGAATTCACTGGTGAAGCGCTTTACAAAGTTTTCGGACTGGTCCAGAGCAGTGAGAGCGGCTGCTAGGCTAAAGAGATTCATCAGAGAATTCAAAGGACATCAGCCAAGAACAAAGGAAGCAACTAGCCTTGAAGAAAGAAGAGAAGCCGAAATCTTTATTATCAAGCTGGTGCAAGAAGAAGCTTTTGCTGAAGACATTCAGAAAATCAAGCTCCAGAAAGAAAACACCCTGAACAAGCGTAACAAGTTACGCCAGCTGAATGCCTTCTTGGATAAGGACAATGTTCTCAGAGTGGGAGGACGATTATCTCGATCAGCCTTACACCATGACGTAAAACATCCGGCAATACTTCCGAAGAAATCTCATGTGTCAGCCCTTCTAGTCAAACACTATCACGAGCGTGTACATCACCAAGGAAGAGGCATGACCATGAACGAGCTGCGCGCAAATGGAATATGGATTCTTGGTTGCGGAAGTGCTGTCTCCTCACACATTTATAAATGCGTAACTTGCAGGAGATACAGAAGAGCCACAGAAGTCCAAAAAATGGCAGATCTCCCGGAAGAGAGAACAGAAATGTCCCCTCCTTTTACCTATTGCGGACTCGATTGCTTTGGCCCCTTCATCGTAAAGGAAGGAAGGAAAGAGTTGAAACGCTATGGATTGTTGTTTACTTGCTTATGCTCCAGAGCAGTACATATAGAAACACTAGACGACTTAACAACAGACGCTTTCATGAACGCGCTTCGAACATTTGTAGCTATTAGAGGACCTGTGCGTCAATTGAGATGCGATCAGGGAACAAATTTCATGGGTGCCAGGAGACTGTTTTCTGAATTGCTTAAAGGAATTGACCAAGAACGTCAACGAGCATTCGGTTGCGAATTTGTAACGAACGTCCCATCAGCAAGTCATATGGGTGGAGTTTGGGAGCGTCAAATTCGAACTATCCGAAGCATCTTAACCGTTATGCTCGACAAATCCGCAAGCAGACTTGACACCACATCGCTGAGAACGTTTCTCTACGAAACAATGGCTATAATCAACAGCAGACCGTTAAGTGTTGAACATCTTCATGATCCCAATGGACCAGAACCTCTCACACCCAACCATATTCTAACGATGAAATCATCAGTTATTCTGCCCCCTCCCGGGCAGTTTTGCAAAGAAGATCTCTATTTGCGCAAACGTTGGAGAAGAGTGCAGTTCTTAGCTGATGAATTCTGGCAAAGATGGAAGCGGGAATACTTGCTAAACCTTCAACAACGACAGAAATGGCAAAGAACAACACGGAATTCACAAGTGGATGACATTGTGATTCTACAAGATGACAGCTCTCCAAGAAACGAATGGAAGCTTGCCAGGGTCGTAGAAGTTCACCCTAGTGCAGACAGTATGGTGCGGAAGTTGAAGCTACTAGTCGGAGACACTACTGATAAAGGACAGCCACTAACTAAAAGAATCTACCTCGAAAGGCCCATTCACAAAGTAGTTACCTTACTTGAATCTAACTGAGTCACATACACAAGATTACATTCATTCAGTCTTACAACACCTTTAATTGACCTTCCACGTATAGAAATCCTACATTTCAAGTTAATTAGGGATTTGGTGGGAGTGTAAGTGTTGTTGCATAAATACTTGTGTTTTCATGATGCGCAGTTCATAATTGCTGTTATAATTTCATGTAACAAATATAACTTAATTTGGTGTAAAGATAAAATGTAATACATGTTTAAGAACTAAAGGGTAGAATAAGCTGCTAAATGATATGTGGTTAACAGTGTATCTATCTCATTCTGTATATTTACGTTTGTCCCGGAACTAATGTTTTCTGTCTGTGTTACCGCTACAACGGTTTAAGTCGACACTCACTGCCTTGAATTCCGGCGGAGCAGATAGCTCCGATGCTTGTTAAACTGCATAAAAGTTAAAAATGTGGTTTGAAGTTAATACAGACGACCAAATGGACATTCAAGAGACTTCAAAGAACTTAGTAACCTCTTTTCACGACAAGCGGCCAACGAGGTATTATTATATTGTCTTTATTGATCTGGATGTTGTTTGTATTTTCTCTGCTAAGCTATAATGTATTGATTTATTTGTACTGTGTTCACTTACAATGTAGTTCTCACGGCGTATAAGGCATATACGACGTTCAAGGCGTACATGGTGTGAAGCTGGATGTACCAAAGAGACCCGATGTGCCCACAGCAATAAACGCCCGTTGCAAAGAACTGACCTGTGTCTGTGTTGTCGCGAAGAGAGCTACAAGTTATAAACACAAAAGTTAGTATCTTGAGTATCTACAAAATCTATTTCAAGGTCAAATACATAGAAACAGTGTGTCTGTCTCTCTCAGTTCACAAACAGGAAATTTTTGTGCAGCTGAGATTTATACAGGGCTGTGACCAGGGCTGGACTGGTAATCTGTTATACCGGGCAAATGCCTGGTGGGCCGACAAAACTTTGGGGCCGGTGTAACTAAATTATTTATTTATATAACCCCGGCCCATAAAGCATAGACAGCGTTTTTTTGACATACTTGTACTTTACTTAAATATTTCCATTTCTACATCACTAAATTTTGGGGGAAAACACTGTACTTTTTGCTTCACTATATTTATTTTACAGCCATATTTAGTACCTATTGTTCAGATTCATATTTTACATGAAAACACAACAAATACAAACAGTCTATTCATTTAGGTGATGCTTTTATCCAAAGCAACTTACGATTGTTATACATGTCAGAGAGGTCACACAGCTCTGAAGCAACAAGGGGTTAAGTGTCATGCTGAGGGACACAACAGTGGATAGGTCACAGTGGGGGATTGAACCCAGGTCTCTCACACAAAAGGCAGGCATCTTATCCATTGCGCCATCACCAAGTACAAAATTAGCTTTCTTTTTTATTATCCCTCCACTGCAGCCCAGCACTGAAACACTGTCCACAGAATTCCTCGCATTTCCCATGCTTTCCCCTCCTATTGTTTCTGTCTAGGCCTTTCTCATTTCTCAGGTTGTACCTCCTCTACTCCTCACTCCTTGACTCCTCGCTAATCGAGGTGCGTTTTAGGAATTGAGATATCCTTCAAGATGACGGCATCCTGTCTTTGCTTGTGCTTCAGGTTTTTGGTCACAGTGTTGGAGAGCTCTGTTCGGTTTTCAAGTTGTCTCCACCTGCCTGCCCAGCTCAGGGAGCTTCCCTCTCTGGAGATTCCCCTTGCACATTACATTACATTGCATTTGCACAGTTATCAATAAATACCCCTTTCACCACTGTCTCCATGTCTTCATCTGAGTCTTCTCAGCAACCAAACCATATTACAAACAGGACATTTTATATTAAAAAGACTGTACATTCAGAAGATATTCACTTGCTTTTATTAACTGAGACTTCAGATGAACTTAACAAAATATTTTTCACAAAACAAGGACTGTTGATTTCTGTTCTTGTAATTGCCAGAATGAACAGGAGGAATGATTACAGCAAGAAAACCCTGTTTCAATTTTAATGTTAGTACTTGACTATTGTTTTAAGACAGACTTGAAAATTTTTAAATCTGCCCTTTAAGTAAAGGATTCCAGTACTTCTTCTACCACTGCCTGTGGCTTGTAAACAATTGATGTTCAGCTAACTGCACTAATTTCCTAGTTAAACATGAAGTTGTTTATTTTAAGTTAACCGTACCCAGTAATAACAAGTCTGTGTATCAAGCTATGTTTGACCCAAAGATAGCAAATTGTCTGTTGGGTTGTGTTTTTGACAAATGCGTAATAATTCAACAAGATATCTATAATATTTCAACACGTTTTCATCAACGGACTCAATATTTTGATGAGTGCTGCAGCCATAAAAACATGGTGTCACTGCCCCTCAAGCGGTCAACTTCAGTGGATACAGTGGTTAGCGAAGATCCCATTTTTATGTGTAAATCCAGGCTCATCCTGGGTAGCTACAGTTTGATAGAAAGTTTTGATTTGAGTGGAGGACTCCATGTCCAGCTCCTCCCCTCAGTGGAAGCCTCAGTTTCTGTGATCATGGTTTTTTGGCTGAACTGTCATAAACAAACATGTGACAGCAAAACATTTCACGTTCAATTCATGCACAAACTTAGATCCCTCATTTTAACAGAACCTTTAGTTATTGAATATCTTTCAACTTTAGCTTGATAAGTGAGTTTCCTCCTTTTTACGTACAGTATCTGAGTGAGAATAAAATAAATCTTTCCGCTTTTGGGCCTTTGAAGTTGAGATTCAATCATAATTATGTGCTTTTAATTTCATGTACTCTGGTATATCTCTGCTCTTTTAATGATTGGAAATATTGAACTTAACCCTGGTCCTGAAAAAATTACCTTTATGTCCACTTTTCTATATTTCCTGGGATTTTATACTCATGTTTTAAATAACACTCTGGGCCTGGGTTTACATGCAGGTGTCCCTCACATGGACCTATCTCAATTGCTGTGTATTCGACAACAACCTATTGACACAACGACAATACCTCAGTTGCTATTTAAATCTCCTCCTGTTATCCCAGTCTCTAATTCTAAACCTGTTAAAGCACAAAAAAGACCCTCGTGTCTAAGGAAAAGTCCAGTTACTTTATGCCAGCTTGGTAGAATCAGAGGTTTTAAAATCTGTCATTTAAACATGAGAAGCCTCGTTCCAAAATTGGATGAATTTAAAATCATGCTTGCTCAAACTAAGGCTCATGTTATGGCAATATCTGAATCATGGCTGTCCCCTACTATATCTGATTCCTTTCTCTCGATTGAAGATTATTCATTGTATCGCAGAGACAGGACTGATAGAATTGGTGGCGGTGTTGCTCTTTATGTAAATAATAAATATGCACATTCTGTAGTAAAACTTTCAACAATTTCTGAGTCACTTCAATTAGTTGTTCACTTTACAAATCAACTCTCAGTTACTATTATTGTCACATACAAGCCTCCAAATGTCTGTCCAACTGCATATTTACTGCAGCTTTCTGACTTAATAAAATCTGTAAAAACTAAGGAGCTTGTTATTCTAGGTGACATTAATTTGAATTGGATCGATAATTCATCTAAACTTTTGAAAGCAACTGCCATAAAACATGGTCTTCATCAATTAATCAAAGATCCCACCAGATTTGGCAAAACACGAAATTCTATTTTGGACCTCATCTTCACTAATCAACCTTCTAAGTATAGTATATCTGGAGTGATAAATACAGCAGTTTCAGATCATTCACTTAGAAAATGTCTTAAACAGCCAAAATCTCAAAGAAATAGTTACATTAAAAAAGTACCAAATTCAAAATTGTCCCAGTTTAATGCTGAATTTGCTGATGCTGATTGGAGTAATGAGATGTATTTGCAAGATCCTGATCATGTTTTGTCAAATTTCCATAAAAGAGTGGAGACAATACGTCAAAAATTTACTACTACTTATATATCAGGCAAAATACAATACCTTGGGTAACTCCTGACATTATGCAGCTTTTAAAAAAGAAGGCCACCTATTTGAAAGCATACAGATCATTAAAAACACCTGAGGCTAAGCTTATTTTCACACAGTTTAGAAATAAGTGCAATTTTGAATTATTCAAAGCAAAACAGCTATATTTTGAAAATCAAATAAACCGAACGGTTTCCAACCCAAGAACATTATGGAAAACACTTAAATCTATAACTGGTGAAAATCCTATATAACTATCCATAAATGGTACTCTTCTCACCGATCATGATAAAATTGCTAATTCTTTCAATGAGTATTTTGTTGCATCTGTTCAGGAGTTATCTTCTGGATTTATTGTTCCTCAGTTTCTCCCATCAGTACCAGCAGCATCTCAGCAATTCTCCTTTTCTGAAATTGCACAAAGCGATATAACTAACATTTTGGGTTCTTTGAATGCTTCTCAGGCTTGTGATACAAATAATTTAAATATGACTTTTCTTAAAACTCACGCTAGTACACTTATTCCGCTTTTCCATCATTTAGTTAATCTGTGTATTAGGCAATCAGTATTTCCTGCCATGTGGAAAACAGCCCAGATCACTCCGATTCTTAAGTCTGATGATCCAACTAATATCTCCAATTACCGGCCAATTGCAATTCTCCCAACTGTTTCTAAGTTACTTGAAAAAACATTATATAATCAATTAATTAATCACCTTGAATACAATAACCTGCTCAGTGATTGTCAGCATGGCTTTCGACCATTGCGGTCAACTATGTCGGCTTTGCTGCTTTTTACTGAGCAGATACGGGCGTCTTTAAGTAAAGGTCAGGTTACTGGAGTCATATACATAGACTTTCGAAAAGCTTTCGATACAGTTAACCATCAAATTTTGTTAAATAAACTTCTTTCTTTTCATTTGTCCTTCTCTGCAATAGATATGTTTAAATCATATTTGAGTGACCGATCTCAGACTGTAAGAATCGGCTCGGTAACATCACAGTCACGAGTGTGTTCTATGGGAGTTCCACAGGGCAGCATCTTAGGTCCTTTACTTTTCCTTATGTACATTAATGATCTTCCCAATGTGTTTGATGTTTCTAGTACTTTGTTATATGCTGATGACACTGTCATTTTTTTGTCTGGCTCAGATATTGATACAATTAATTACAAACTTAACTCAGACCTACAGCATTTACATGATTGGCTCCAGGATAACCATTTAACACTTAATACTAAGAAAACAGAATGTATGTATTTTTATTCATCTAGGAAACAACTGTCTATATCAAATTTCATCACCTTTTCTAATCAAAAACTTTCAATTGTATCCACGTATAAGTATCTGGGAGTCTCTCTTGACTCACATCTTACTTATCGTGACCATGTCCAAATTTTAACCAGAAAGTTAAACCAAAAGTTATTTGTTTATAGTAAAATTAGACCATATTTACAGCATTCTGTTTCTAAAACATATCTTCATGCCATTATATTGTCCACTCTGTCATATTGTGTACCTGTTTGGTCACTCACAACAAATGAGATCCTTGAACCTGTAGCGAGACTCTACAATAGAGCCTATAAGATTTACAACAGGCTTCCAGGCTGGACTCACCACTGTGTTGCACTATCTTTGAGTAATGCCTTGACATTTCAGAACTATAGAATAAGCCATGGTTTGAACCTTTTTTATCAGATCTTAAATGGACACACTACTGCAGGATTGTCTGCGCTAGCTCCAAAACTCAGCTCAAGGCCCGAACGCACTACGAGATCTGTTGCAAATGGACTTCTCCCTATACCAGCTTTTAGAAACTGCTATGGACAGAAATCTTTCTTTAATTTGCTCACTACAGCCTGGAATGATACTCCACAGCACGTCAGATCTATAACATCAATAAGACTATTTAAACAAACTTTTGCTCGCCATCTGATGGACAGGTATATCTGTGAACACTGAGATAGCTTTATGACCTCCACATCATAGTTTGTGTGCTTGTTGCTGTGTGTTTGTTATTGTATGGTTTTGTTGTGTTTGAGGTATTCATGTTCTGCAGAACAGGAACCTGCTGAAAATCAGTTCTATACTGAGTCAGGCCCGATTGCTCTTAATCTCTTCCTGCTTAAATAAATAAATAAATAAAAAATATCTTTTTTTTCTGTTATTTGTATTTCAGTTTAAAATAAATTACCCTTATGTAAATAGTATTTGTACACAACCAAAGATAGCTTTCAGTTTGTTTCAGCATCACAGATCTATGGCAGTGTGACGGAGGGGCAAGAGCAGTCACCCCACCCATATTCAAAACCGGTTCTACCACACATGCAACTTGACCGCAACGCCAAAGAGCCAGGCTCGTTGATATGGCAGTCACAGCGCATACTCAACCATAGTGATGGTGGTCTGTCACAGGCAGTCAATGAAGATCAAAGCTGACAAAACATATTTAATTATTTGTTTATAATTTCATTTATGTCTCCTGATTCTTGTATGAATGTTGGCCCAGAGTAGGTCAGTGTGTGAGCTGCAAAACACATCACTAAGGAAGATGTTTTCAATATACCTTTACCATAGCTGCATAAAATGTGTCCAATTAAACAAGTTAATCAGCTCACCATGAGAGACTCCGAGTAGCATCAGCAACAATCCAATGAGCAGCTTCCATGTCTCCTCAGTGTTCAGCCTCTGTTGACCCAGTCAGCAGCTTCCAGACAAACCTCTCTACTTTATTCAGTAGCAAACATGCACTTAGTGATTAGCCGCATATAAGAAGATGTGAAAACTCTGATCAGATAGTGTTGTCAAAATAGTAAAGCGGAAAGGAGAAAGAGGAAGCATGGTGAATGTGGTCACTAAGTGCACAGGTATCAATACTAAAAGCTCCAAAAACAACAAAACATCTGATTGCTCCATTCAATCATCTCATATCCAACTAGCTGAAAAAGTGAAACAAGTAAACATTTTGCTCTATCATTGGACTAAACAAGCAGAGTAAAGATCAATTTTTATTTTCACTTTGGGGTTACTCAGCTTTAATTACTACTAAGTTCTTGTAAACCAATCTTTTAGAGAGGTGCATTGGATCAGAAACTCAGTGCTTTGGTCCTCAGACAGTTGGGGGACAGTTGCAACTGTAGGAGCCATTTCAGTGTTTTATGTCCAGGTATGGGCTGTCGGTGGTATTAGGGTTCTGGGATAGCTAATTGTGGCTCATCTACTTAGAAGGGCAGGTGCAGAGGGGAAAAGCCAACTAGTTTATGACCGCCACCAATGTTGTTGCTGTTCGTATGTTGTGACACTGTCGATGAAGATGGAATATTGTTCCGTTATGGATATTGAAGACTGTATGTGTAACAATAAATCATACCTCTCATGACAGAGAAGAAATCAGAACTTCATTCTTTCTGAACCGAACAATGGTAAGTGCGTCAACTACTTTAACCCTCTGCGTAGCCCTCAGCTGCTTTAGCGTTTACTGCAACTATAAGGAAACATGAAGTCATTTTAACACCTTCAAGTCTCTGGTATGTCATCACATGACATACATCTTACAACATCCTCAGACATTAAAGTTATGCTTCTTGTGTCATTCACTAGGCCTACATAGTGAAGGAAGCACAATATTATAGCAAACTGGTCATTTCACGTCCGCATTTATGTTGGGAACAGTTTTACGTACAAATTATTATCCTTGGATACACTTCAAGAGATTATTTTATGTTGGTCAATTTGAGAGCATATATTTTGAATAGAATGTTCAACAGCTAGTGTGTGCTTAAAGGTGCTCAATCACCACTGATCCCTCCCTTTGCAAGCGTATAGGAGAAGCTGCAGTGGCCGACATGCTCTGTAGGCTCTTGTGCTAAATAAGACATGTGGGCCTCCATTTGTCCAAATATCACATCCCTTTTTACTTCTGAACAAAATGAATACTACTACTACCTTTTTGTACATATTCAACGTTGTGACAAAACGCGCTCTGTAGAGCAGTTTGTCCATTTGGGCTACTGTAGTGGCGCAACATGGCGACTTCCATGAAAGGGGACCCTCGGTGTATGTAGAAATGGTTCATTCTAAGGTGATAAAAACATAACAGTTCATTATGTAAGGTCTTTCTACACCACTGAAAAGTTATGTATATTATACTGCATTTCTGTCAGTATATCCTCCTAAATATTACACACTGGACCTTTAAAGGGCTTAAAGGGAAGTGTAAAAGGATGGTGGGGACTAAACATTTTACACAAGTCTTGAAATTTTTAAGATTTCATGTTGACTTTCACCATACTATTTGAGGAAAAACTGTCATTGCACTCAGGTATGAAGGAAGTGAAACAAACTATAACCAAAACTTTCATCATAAAGGATAAACCATATACACAGTTTCTCACACAAAGACCTCTCTTTTATTCTATTATTCCTGGCTGTTGTGTTGTTAAAACACTGCAAAATGTGTACATATGCACATGATAAGAACAGCTACAGTGTGAAACACAAATGTCTCTTGTTTCCAGGCTGAAAACTAAACAGAAAGTTACATTTAAAAGTGAATATAAACATGTTACTTAACCTGTACTATGAAGTTTAACATACCCAGGACATCATGCGAGTGAAACCCAAACACAGCTTGAAGATGTTGTCATAACACAACATGATTAATAAGCTTCAGCATCAACTAATAACCAGCTTAGATATACAAGCAAACTACTTTTGCCATCTAAATCCTGGTAGTCTTTAAAGTATTTGTTTTATATGATGTTCTGCACAAGCCCTAACACTAGACAAATGACTAAATTATGTTTTCTGATGATTATTAACAATAATAGTAATGCAACTTAATTACATATAGCCCTGTCCATCAGACTGCAAAATTTAATTTACAGCAAATCCTCCCGTTATGTAAATATTTTTAACAAAGAGCAGATCAAAACTACAAAGTTTAACACCACTTTATCTGCTGCTGCTGTACAAAAATTAAATGAACATAAAGGGAATACCACAAGTCTTTTTCAACACTATTGCAAGATACAAAAAGACAACTTCTGTTTCCAACTTGTCTTAAAAGTCCTGGTTGCTGTTGGTTCTTGGAGTTGCTGGTTGTCTATTGGTAATGATGGTCCTCAGTTGAGTTCAATAAAGTCCAGTACTGTGGCGTTCAGACTTTTTCTTTGAGCCTGCACAAAAGAAGTTAAAGTGGCACTAAAGGCTTTGATATTTCATATGGTATTGACTGAAACGCTGTTTTTCCTACTTTTTAGATTACAAACAGGCTTAAAGGTTACCTGACTTCTTTCGTCGCCTCACTTTCCGACATACACAGCAACATATGACCACCAGTATCAGTATCAGTAAGCCACCCGCTGCAGAGCAGATTATGATCAAGTTGGCCAGAATGCTTTCTGGGGAAAAGAGACCACAATGGTAATTATAAAAACGTGAAGCATTTAAACATACATTTTTGTTATTTGCCAACCTGGGTGTTACTCATATGTTCCACTTTGTAGGTCTGCTGGGAGTTTCACTTAAACTATGCGCATGAACCAGTTTGTTAGTGTGAGGCTGTGGCAGCAAGTTTCATAATTGCTAAAAAAAAAGAACAGTTGACACAGTACACGCCCTTCGGTTTTTATCAACTGCCACTATACAATAAAGAAAGACTTCAGTTGAGGCTATGGGCTCTATAAACAGATACAAATACATCAAGAATAATCTGAAATCTACTATAAAGTGCAGAAGCTACAAGAAAGATGTCCAGAGGAATACATTCTGTGCTCACTTTTGGTTTAAACACTTAAAGGCGTGTTAGAGGTGGCATTTGAGCTTAAGTTGTGATTTAATTTGATTTCACATTATTGTCAGATTTGTCTGAAAAGTGTCTTGCATCGCAAGGTGTAAACACTCTCTCTCACATAACAATAACATAACATATAGCCTATAAAACACTACAAACATGTGTGTCTGTGAAGATTCTCACTCATCCAGGTCATAGTTTTCCAAGGCAGATTAAATCAAGGGTTGAAGATACCTGGAGATGTTTGGCTTCTCATCTAAGAGGCTTCTTCAAATATCTTCAACCAAAGTCCAATTGCCCTCGATTTAACCTTCTTTGGATACAAATATGTAAATTATGCAAACTATAGCAGGTTAACACTTCTTGCCCTGATTAATGTCTCCCAAATCTCTTTAAAAAAAAGAGGTGGTAAGTTAAATATTAAAAATTCATAATGGACAACAAAATGAGAATAAAGTTGATTTAGGTCTACTGAAAGTTCATGTGAATGTTTTGCACCTCTGTCAGTAGGCCTACTGAGACTACACTACATTACACTACACGGGTACTTGGATTAAAGTAAGTGCACAGCAGAGTGTGAAATCTCAATGAACAATCTGAACAGGCTGCAGAACACTTTGATTATTGTCTGTGGATTCAGATGTTTGTGATTTCTCCTTTAATCATCTATCTTCCGTTGCACAAATTGGTGTGTTTTTCACACCCTCGTGATGATTTTTTTTTTTTTATCAACTTTATAATATATATACTAATAACTACTGAAGCATAAACAGACCACTTGCCTTCAACATCCAGTGTAAATTTAACGTTTCTCACGAGGACCCCGTCTTGAGTAAAGATCTCGACGCTGTATGCACCTGTATCGTTTACCTCCACGTTTGTGATCTTCATAGTCCCGTTGTGGATGAAAAACTGTGTCCTGTTTCTAAATGGCTCCGGCACCGTCACAGTTTCTCTCTTCAGGGAGAACACGATTACGGGTCCAGTGGAAAGCTCTTTCTTGCATCGCAGCTGATGGCCGCTGGCACTGGTCATCAGCTGGATGTACACAGCTCCTCCGAGAGTAGCAGAGCACTGAGATGTGTTCTGGGTGGCATTGCATTTAGTCTCAGCAGCTGGGAAGAAAGCTAGGGAAAAATAGCATATTCAAAAGCTTAATTAATTCATCTTTTACGTTTATGTTAATGTTTCTTTAACAATGCGGATTTTACCATGCGTTACTCCAGCTAACATCACAAGAATGAAAACTTGCTGCATGCTCCTCTGTCCTGCAGAATAACGCCTATCATAAGAAATGAAGCCCAAAAAAAGGTGATGAACTGAAGACTGTTCTAACTACAGATGCTGAACCTCAGATAGGACGTTGCGCCGTTGACAGGAAACGGTAATGGCTGGCGGTTTGGTACAGCGGTGGAAAGACAGGAAATGAAAGAAACTACCTTACTTCTCCTTTCAAACAAGACTTTGGCAGCACGCTGTGGTATGTTCATAAGAAATACAGCGCGTGAAGAAATCTTCTGTTGTCCTTCTCTGTTTAAAATCACAGCTTGTGTGCAGCTGAAACTCAGGTTTGCATCAGCCAACGTCATCTGACTGGTATGACAGTTTCAACCACACTACGTGGCAAAATATTTGCCGAGGAAACTTTTTCAGTTTTGTTTTAAAGCACTTCTCAATTTGCCAAAATGGAAAAAATGGAAGTGAGAATTATAATTCTGTACACAGAGAGAGCAAAATACCTGTCTGTGCCCTGTAACAATAAAGTCTAAATGGCAGTAGCCTATTTATTATGGTCACACAACCTTTATACACATCTACCTGTAGGTTAGGATAACCTTAGCTCTGTATGTAGAAGGGCAGATATATTTGTTCTGGATCAGTAAGCATTTCTCTGAACAACTTTTTACATGCTCAAACACTCTAATATAGCCAAGATGAGCCACCACAAGGGCACAGATTCTTCTTTGTTTGGATCAGTGTTTCATGTAGTGTTGTAGTACTCGAGACTGGTCTTGACCACTTATTTGATGGTCTTGGTCTCGTCGTGGACTCGACTGCATTTGTACTCGTTCTTGTCTCAGTCTCAGACATTGAGGACTCAGGATTTTATTTCAAGACCAGTCAAGACCATAACTTTGGGAATATCAATAAATTGCTTTTGCATTGTCTGATTTATTTGTTTCTAACTTTGATTGGATGTAAAACGTACTGCTTCAAATGCAACGAATAACGCTAATTAAAAATGTGTTGCTCCCGTTAACGACTGTCCCCCCCCCCCGTGATGGTAAACATGGAAAAGGAGTGTTCAATAAAGACGCTTATGTTGAGTTCAGCTCTTAGTGTTTGTATGTGGGTGTTTTAATGGGAATATGGATCTTTCAGATTAATTTGAGAAGTACCTATGATCTCATTCCACATTTTATTATGTGTCATGGGGAACTGGTCTTGGATTTGACTCGGTCTCGCCCACCCTTGGTCTTGGTCTTAACTTGGCCTCAGGCCATAAAAGTCTTGGTCATGTCTCGGTCTCAATAAACTCTGGTCTTGGTCTTGACTGACCTAAGGAATGTATTATTTTTTTTATTAGGTGTCCAAGCCCAAGTGGGCTGGGAACCCGCGAATGCAAGGCAATGGCGGTTCCCAGTATCAGCGGAGCTGGGAATCGTTCTCGTTTTTATTAATTATTTTTTTTCCGTACGTAAAACTCATACTGCAGCCTAGACGGTAAGTGCTAGGGACACGAAACTCATAAGATAGGTCCAACTCTTATCAATGACCTCAGGCGCAAAAATCCGCACACTTCTACCACTAGGGGGCGCTATAAGCAAGGTCAACGCGTTTGGGCTTGGAACTATGAAGGCGTATATCAAAAACCTTACATCCACGCATTCGAGGGATTGAGCTGAATCTCCTGGTATATGCCACGCCCTTTTCTGCCTAATTCGCGAAAACTGAAAAACCCATTTTAATTAATACCTCCAAAGCCGCAAGTCCGATCGCCACGAAACTTGGCACAGACAATCTCTTGACCAAGCCTGAAAGTTTGTAGAGGGAATTTTGATCCACTAAAAAACGTCCGAATTACAAGCTAACAAATGTTTGCGCAAACGCTAAAACACAATATCATGTCAGATCTTACGTTTGCAAATGCCGATCTACACCAAACTCGGGGACCTTATGTGACACCCCTCCCAAGAGACTGTGTGAAATTTCGCGTCAATCCACCTTTAGGTGGCGCTGTAAATTGGAAATCAAATAACACTCCCATAGACATACATTCATTTCAGATCTCCGTACCGCAAGCCCCTTTCATTTACATTTGTCTTCATTTATTCTCCACAGGTCCCCCGAGCCACGGCGGGGGGCCCGGGCCGACTCGCGAGCCCTCCATGGGGCCAGTGGTGCGGCTTGCGCCGGGAGGCTTGGCTCCCGCTTACAACTGCTTGCAGTTCTAGTTTTATTCATTGTTATCAAATCATGTGTTTTACCAGGAAATGAAGCAGACCAGAATGTAGCATCAGTGCTTAATCAAAGCCACACACTTTGTCATTCTAATGTTCTCTTTCCAATTATAAGGTTACTTTTACTAATCCATTTGACGGTAATAATCTTGAAACAAGTTCTCATTAGATAGGCTAGTAGTGACAATGTGAATGTGAATGTGAATGTGTAAATGCACTTAGCTTTCAGCAAACATCCTAAACTGATTTGAATTCAAACGGCCTTGCATTGCAATGATATTTTACTAACACAAGAATAAAGGAAGAACATCAAGAAGAACAAGGAGTAAGCCCTTCCAAAATCAGGGGGATCAGCAAACTGAATTATGACAAATAAAAAAGGACAATTAGCATAAATAGAGCAGTTATAAATTAACCTAGCAAGTAATGAAATAAATAAAGCTTGCAACATTGACATAGAGGTAGTCATCAGGTATATTCATTATAGTTACAAATGGTTGCAGATTGTAATTTACCTTGTCATCTATGTCACATACAGCGATTCAGTTTTTTTTTTTTTAAAGTATATCTTGTAAGTCTTCATAAGTATGCTAACAAAATACATTTTCTTACACGCTTGTATCATCTTGTAAGATGGAATCAACTCTCATTTTTAACTACAGAAAATTCACTTTAGGGGCACACATTTTTATTCACATTGATGTAAACCAGTTGAACAATTATTACTTTCATTGGACTGAACATAAACATGCAGATACATCTCGGTAACTGCAGCTGGATCCTGCAGAAACATGGTTCCTTCTTCAACAAAAACAAATCCTATATCCTGTTGGACATGATCCTAGTGTTGAGTCTCCTGAAAAACAAACTGCTTTTGGACAGTTTAAGCTTCTTCTTCCAATCCTTGTTCTTTTTCTGGTAGACACTGTCCCAGCTGTCCTCCTCCTCATCTCCTACCCAGGGCACCCAGGCACCTCCATTCAGGTGGGGGTCAGCCCGTAGGTCCTCTGATGGGTACCTTACTGGCACTGCAGTGCGATTGTAGTACACCAATCTAGCCAGCAGGTCTTTGACAACATCTGGTCTCTGCTCAGAGAGGTCAACACGTTCGTAGGGGTCTCCAGAGACGTTGAAAAGCCACACAGATTTCCGCGGTTCGGTGTGGCGCTCCAGGTACCACCAGCCGCCGGGGAAACCTGGAAGCATCTGTGGCGGTGTCCAGTCTCCGTAGCCGGGGTCTCCTGTTAGGAGTTTCCAGTCTCCAGCTCGTATAGAGGCCTGCACGGCTGTATCCCAAATCCCATATCCTTTTTGTAGTGAGCCACTGCGTGCATGGTTATACAGAGGGTCAATATTGTGGAGAATCTCCAACCTGGGCGACTCCTTCCCCTCACTGATGGCTTCCCATACATCATAACCGTCCACCCCCTCAGTCAGGGACTCATTTCCACCTGCTAATCCCACCAGTGTAGGGTACCAGTCAGTGATGTGAACCAGGGCTTTACTCACTCTCCTCTTCCGCCTCAACAGAGGGCTGTGGACGAACCCCAAACCCCGGATGCCGCCTTCCCAGTAGGTGCCTTTACGTCCTCTGAGCGGCCAGTTACTGCCACCAGACAAAGGCTGGCCTCCGTTGTCAGTAGAGAAGACGATGACACTGTTCTGGTAGTAACCATACTTGCGAAGAGCGTATGTTATATTTCGTACTGCCTCGTCTACAGCTGTGACCATAGCAGCGTATTTCCTGCGCGCCACGTTTTCCAGCCCACGGTACGGGTAGATGTACTCCCGCGGAGACTGCAGGGGCGTGTGAACAGCTTGGAAGGAGAGGTAGATGAACAGTGGCTGGGACTGAGGATCATGGGTTGCCAGGATCTTGCGGACCCTCTGTGTGTAGAGATGGGTGGAGTATTTGCCCCTCTGACCCCAGGCGACCGACTCCCCCTCATGGAGATCGAAGCCACACCGCCCAGGGCCGTCACAGGAGTCATAGGTGTAGTAATTCACACTGCCCGTCAGGGAGCCAAAGTATGTGTCGAAGCCACGGCGAGTGGGCAGGCAATCCTTCTTATAGAAGCCCAGGTGCCACTTGCCGACCATGTGGGTGGAATAGCCAAGCTCCTGCAGTCTCTGGGGGAGGGTGACCTGGTCAAAGGGGAGGCAGTTGGGCTGGCGGGGCCGGATGATGGAGTGCTGCAGACCGGTGTGAATTTGGTACCTGTAGGGTTAAAGATAAAGAAGACTGTCAGAAGGACATATGTGTTTTCAATAATAAGATCCAACAGATACTTGCACACATAAAGATGGGACAGGAAGTAAGAGAAGATGGGAGAGGGAGATTGTTCCCATTTCCTCCCTTAATTTCATGTGTGGTTAACCAATGTTGAACAGGTGAAGGCCACATAAAAACATTGTAGGCCTACTTTCAATAGTGGTATCATCAGAGCCTAAATATGGAAATAAGAAAGATTTATCCAAAATGATCATGTGATTCACAGATCTTATTTTCAGGTTGATGCTAGGTTTAAACATTAATTTCCAGTATGCTTTTGCAGAAAACAAAATTTTATTTCACATCAGTGGAATCACAATAATAATTAAAAATAATAAAATCAGTATGGGAATATGAGTTTTTTTCATGGCTTTGCTGAAATAGCCTACAGGTTTCAAGACAAAATAAATGATCACCTTGTGTTACTTTGGTTATATCAGAAAATGATCCATAACATAGGCTACCTTCGGGTGTTTTAGTTGACAAAAATAGACTAAATGTAGCAAATTTTCTTGAATAGAATTATAAAATAGCCTAGGCTACTTATAATCTGGTCCAAACAGACAGCAACAAGAAGCCAGTCTCTAATGTCGTCTGGGGAGAAACACTTCACCTGCCGGTGATGAGCTGACTGCGGGACGGGGTGCAGATTGGCTGAATGTAATAATTCTCCAGCTTCACTCCGTCCGCAGCCAGCTTGTCCAGCGCCGGTGTCCTGATGTCAGAGCCGTGGTAGCCGATGTCGTTGAATCCCTGATCGTCTGTCATGATGAAAATGATGTGAGGGGGCTGCGGCACAGGAGACCTGTCGACAAAAGTTCGGTCGGGCTCGTTTTCCACCTGGTTAGGACCCATCAGGTCCCAGGTCAGGTATCCGAGGCTGAGCAGGCTCATCATAGAGAACCCGGTCAGTGCTGTTGTTGCCATGGTCCCTCCTATAGGCTATCACTTTATATCAGTCCAACTAGCGAGTATTCAGGATTTGTCACCAAGTCATCTCCTTTGATCGCTCAAATAGCAGTTACTCAATCTGAAACGTGCGCGTCACTCACAGAAAGCTACACCTCCATCCTTAGTGACTCTCCAGACTGTTTCAGCCTCCTCTGAAAACATTTCATTTTCCCTAATAGACCCATTAACTCCGCCCATTTGCCTTGCTGCCTCACTGAAATAACCCAGTCCCCTAGGTTTCTACTGTAGCCAGGTGTTTATTGTGAGTTCACATCTCACATTAGATCTCCTGTGGTGGCCTATAATTTTACATTACATTATCAATAGGCACTGATAACCTATCTTACCCTGTCTTACATTTGGATATTATTCTGAAAAGCGCTTTTCAAAGGTGTGCCCATTTTCACATTTTGTTCCACTTAGTGTAAAAGCAGCTTTAAACATGAAAGCAGTGAAACGCCTCACATCATACACCCTCCTCTTCATTCATGCCATTTCAAGGTAATTTGATTTCAATGAACCACACTGCCAACGTTCTGTAAATTACTAGAAAGCAAAAAAAAAACATTCCCATATAACCTGGTTTAGCAGTGGATCACAGAGACTCTACAGAGAGACCCTCACTCAGAAAAGGGGGAGATTTGTGTCTTGGGGAGGTTATGGGGCCCTATGGAGTCCGGCAGAGACAATCACAGACACTGTTCCCCCTTCTCCACTCCATTGCACGCACAGTCACTCTCTTATTATTCCTGCTGTTTTATGAGTGCCACAGACCTGAGGAGGGAGACATAGCAGACTTCCCAGACCCTGATTACATCTCCAACCAGGCGTCAAAGAACCACTTTACAAACCATCCAGCGGGTCAACAGAAAGCAGCTGTGTGAACAGGATCCCCAGCATCTTGTGAGACCTTCAGAATGCTGCAGATTCACACTGACTAGTAATCAAGGGAGGGCTGTGGACAGTAGAACAATTAAAGGTCAAAATATTAAGGACACTATGTTTATTTTCTTTGTTAAATCGTTAATGGTAATTGTAAAGGAGGATATGTAGATCAAGAGAAGAAGATGCGCTAGACAAGTGACACTGGTGATACTAATACTGGAGTGTGCGGGTTAAGACGACCTAACACTCATGTCTTTAAAGATGATCATCACAACAGGTTAAGTCCTCATGTAGCCCTGAAATGCTACTGTGACCTGGGCAAAAGACATGTTACACTAAGCACTGAACATCTAGTTTCTCATGTGTGTCATTGTCAAAGAACTTCCTGTTTTGAGACAAAACATAAATAGCATTTTGCTGTATTATGCCAGTGTTGATTAATGCTTTTGAGCCATTGGCCACCCCCTACTTTGAATGTTAATGCCGACACCTGGCTACACTGAGGTGTGTCACATGAAAGCCACTACTACTTAGCGTGTAAGATATTCTGTGATTGCATCCACAAAAAACAAGACATTTTGACCATGTGGCTTTGCCAAATTTCACAATCAGCATGATGTGAGAAGCTGGTCAGGCAAGGGAGCCCAAGTACACACTTACAAGATCAGAAATATTAAGAACCACGGTGTCATGGAGAACGTTGTACCCCCATGCCCCATGTTGGCTGGACTGGGTTGAAAGTGTGTCATCTAATCCTTGGCATACAATACTATAGATTGTAAAAGAGGCACTAATATTTTCATCTTCTGTACATTCAATGTGGTATGTAAAACACCACACCTTACAAATGTTGATATTGGTTACAGAGAGACTTGGAGGTTGCGGGACAGCCAAAGGAAGTATGAGGCCCTCCCGTAAAGGGCAAAAGCCTGCGGCCGGGGATGTTTTCCCACCAGCAGCAGCAATGGCATCTTTGGAGAACAGTTTAATGCAGGTCAAGCTGGGAAAGAGAGAGAAGAAAAAAATTATTGAGGCACACCTGAAGTTTTACACCCTCATGTTTATTTATGTAGTTTTCCTGGAGGGAGCGACTTGGACAGCTGAAGGTCATTGCAAAAATACCAACAAAACCCAGAGATGTTATACAACCAAAGTGAGAGACTTGATATTATTGATCATAGTAAGTTCACGATATGTGTGAACAACAGCTTACAAAAGTCAACTTAGAGGCAACAAAGGAACATATCTGTGTGTGTGTGTTGAAATAGTAATGAAATGTCTCTCTATGTCAACCACACTATGTCAGGAGATGTTACTTGTCTGGTTTCTGTTGGTCAGATTTGTAATTGCGACAGCTCACAAGGCCAACAACAACCCTACACACAGCCACGCCGCCACACAAACAGCACACCTATACTGACACACATCGACTCATACAAATATTAACACAAGCATGCGCCCACATACTTGTCAGACTCATTGATAGGTTGATACCACAGATGTACAGCTTACATCACACATTTGCTTATCCTTTTTTTAACTGTCCTATTATACAAATAAAGAACTAACTTAGAAATGATTTCATGACAGTATTTATGGAAACAGATACCTTACAATACACACTGACTCTGAACGCTGAACGAACACCATACTTTATTTCTGGGGGTTATTTTCAGTTATTTGTTTGTCATAACTTGCCTTGGGCTGCTGCTCAATGTCAAACTGAGCTAAGAACAAGAAACATGTTCTAATTTCCTGTAATTTGCAGCTGTCTAATTCCACTAACTAAGCATGATTCAAACACAGTAAGTGGTCATGTCAAGTATGTTAAAGAAGGTCACTCTCCTTTAATGAACCAGTCGTGCTGAGTTGACCCATGCTGCATTCTTTTCATCACCTTGATCCTGCTGGCCTAAATGTAAATGCTTTCAGGCCATTTTTCTTATTGCACACTACTTTGCGGCTACATACCATCAGGACATTTTCAATATGAGGTTTTGAGAGGAAAATGTGTCTTTATTAAAAGTGACTGTAACTTTGATATTGGGCTTCTTCAAAAAGTCTCTAAGTTGCATTTAATGCTGATGTGCTGTGAACATCTGTGGTGTGTTTATTGGTTGTGCATTACCCTCCTAATTTATCCAGTTTCTGTAAAAAGAGTGTCATGGAACGTCGTAAATTTAACTACGCTTCCATTTCTCCACTTCCAAATTGAAAGTGGATATATAAAACAATCAAAGTGTGGTTTCATACAGAGGAAGCTCATTACTTCAAGCCAGAGAGCCTCATGAATGAAGTTAGAACAAAGCACTAGTAGCTTGTGTTGACTTTTCATCTCTGTTTCTGTGGTTTGGTTTTCAAACAAATCTCCCAACCCATAATCTCCCAATGAACACACAGAAAAGCATCGTATCCTTTTTATGTCACTTTCCAAACGGGTTCTCAGCCATGAGGAACCATGAAATGCAATAATGAGTTGAAAGGGAAGCAGAGACTGGCGGGTGCTGCTGCTGCTGCTGCTGCTGCTCAGTGTCGTTCGGCACCAGATGTTGGCTTTGGCGAAAGGAAGAGGTGCTGTTACTGAATACGGCTGCTCTCCTTCACCATGAACACTACCCCCTTTCTAATCAACGCAACCCTGCCAGTAAACCTGCACATTACTTCCCCTCTTACCCCAATTTTCTAATCTGAGTAAGACTGGATGGAGGTTTTCTTTCTTCCTGTGCGCCAACCTCCGAGCCAAAACCTTCACTTCAATAGGACTGTATTCAGCTTGCCGCTACTCTTCTACCTACAAGAGTACCTTTGTTTCTAGAGTTTACTCAACATCTCTTTTTCATTATAACATTTTTTTTTACATCAGTTCATCAAATCAGGGGCAGTATTAGGGTGTCTTTCTCTCCCGGTTCAGTTTAGTTGTATTTAACAGGCTTCACTGATGTAAATGCCAAAAATCACTGACAAGCAGTGACTATTGCCCCACAAAGGCAGACAGCAGAGACTGCAGAAGCAAGGACGTAGAGAGGAAAATGTTTAAAGTTTTCATGCTGACTTGCAAGCTTAACTTGATTCCTTTTAAGGCTGATTATTTTCTCCAAAGATTATTGCCATGAAACCTACATACATACCAGAAATACAGATACTGCAATCTGAATTTAACACATAGGGAAAATCTCTATTTGTGTTAATATGCAGTTACTTGTTTGCTTTTGTAAAGTGGCCAGCTCTTCACACTGTATCTGCGAGTGCAAATGTGGGTGTGGGTAAGCCTCTTTAACAGCGGATGTGGTTTACCATGTGCCAGCTGTTGCAGCCACAACCTCCACCGTCTGCCGATCTGCATTGCTAGACACCAGCTATGTAACAATGGAGGTAAATAAATACGCATGAGAATGAGTCAGAACAAGAGTAAGATCGGTTTCAGTCAGTATATATAGCCCTCAGTTGTATTCCGTTAATATCTCCTCTCACGCAGTGTTATCGTCCACACACCGTGCCACACCAGGTGGGATATCACAGGTGAGAGGAGAGTCCAGTGCTCAGCCGCTGGCCTCAGCCCCTGATTAAAGGTGTGTTTGATTTGGCTCTTGTGGAGCTGCAGCAGCACCTGGGAACGAAGGCCAGACACCACACTTCATTATGACCCTCCAGGAAAGCCTCCTGGATGGACATCTGACAGGGACTCGATGAACAATCATTATGGGGCTAACGGGTATTTGAAATTTCCTCAAAGGGTTGTTGTTTTTTAATTAATGAACCAATCAGTCTTATTTTTTTGTGGGATATTCATACATCTTGAAGTTTTCTACTTAAAAACGGTTTCACTACTGTTCACAAAGGCGGCGCTGACAGGTTGTGGCACATCGAAAGTCCCCAGCAAAAACAAATCTCACCGGCTGTAATTACCTGCAGAGTGAGCGCAGATGTGAGCTGCCAAACGTGTGGAATGTAAAGTAGATTTATTTCCTGTGAAACAGAGTGCCATTTACAAGAGTAACCTGTACAAATATCCCATTTTTACTGCAACATGTCATCAAAGCTAAGGTAAATGATCTACTTCTGTCTCTGCTCCGATAAATTTACCACATGCTCTAAAATGCTGTTTGACACAAATTAGTTATTTTATATATTGTTTTGAGGAAACATGGGCTGAAGAAATGTTACATTTCCCATTTTACAAATTCTTATTCTTCCATAAAATCCTGGTGGTCTCTCCCATCAACACTT